GCTCGTCTTCCCCCCGTTTCGTGCTGAGCGCGAGTGCTCACTAGAAATGAACGCCGTCACCGATACTGCGACCCCCACCGAGGCGCAGGCCATTCCGTGGTCGGCCGGTATCAAATTCCACTGTCGTGATCCCGAGGGCCTTCGCGCGTGGCTCCAATCGCCGGAGCACTGAGCTCGATTACGACCGAGGCGTTGTTGTTGTTCATGGCGATGATGAAAACAGACTATGTTGAGATCTGGGTGGCTGGCTGTTTGTCGGTGAATCATTTTACGCTATTTATATCGGGAGATAGAGAAGCTTTGATTTATCTCGTCTCAGAACTGTCAAAATATATACAGGGTATAGTGCAGGTCTTATGATACTGAGAGACTGATTATAGTGTATTTGAAGGATTAAAATTAGTGGAGAAGGAAAAGCCTGCAATTCATTTATTTCCATGAGTGATCAGACCATTGTATGAAAGTGAAAATGGTCAGTAAATAATACTAGGCAACTGTTCTGAACCTCTTATGGTAATCTATCATTCTAGTGTTTAGCACTCCTGAAAATTTGCTTAACTAGGTAGTACATATGGATGATGTCGAAAGCTATATTATAATATATGACTGGGAACCCGAGTATTTAATACCTCGGAAAATATAGACCGCTGTGATTGTCGGCCCTATACAAATTGTATAGTAAGCTTAGTTAACTATACCTAACGTATTTCACATGCGAGCGGCGCACACAAGCGAGTGGCGCACCCAACCCAACCCATTAAATTTAAATACATTTATCTCAACCATAACGCCATTAAATTAATTCAACTAACTAAGTGGTCTATCTGGATATGTTTCTCTTCTATGCCCTAGCAATCTGCATATACCACACCCCCGGGGAGGCCGTATACGTGGCTGAATAGTCGATTCTCTAGGTATGCTAGGGCCGGGGGGAGGTGCTTTACTTCCTTCCTGTTGCTGCATAATTAATGCAGATGCTTCTTAAACTGAGAGGCCTTCTTCAGCAGGTAGCTGCCTCCGGGATCTAGTACGCTTTTACTTCTGCTTCTCGTTAGCGGCCCATAATTCCTTGTTTTCTTTAGCGAGTAAGATAGCATCTTACATTATAAGACGGAAGCCTTTTATAAGCTGGTTTAATGTACAATCTAATAGGCTAGGCAGGCTTCGAGATCTAGTACGAAGTAAAGCTTTAATTAATAAAGCCTATTGATGTAGTTCTTTCTCTGTAATAGGGGTTTTTAGGGTGAAATTCCGGCTTAATTTACTACCCCGGCTAGTAGGGGGGGTTAGGGTTCGAAGCCGGATATTAAGCTTTAAAATCACTCAGTTAGGTCTAAATAGTACTAAACTAGTAGCTAAGAAGCTATTTTTAATTATCTCCGATTTAAAAGCTTTAATTTATACAGAGGGGTATACTTTAAGGAAGTCAAGTTTATTAATATAGTTAATCCCGACCTATATCTTAGTCTTAACTATCTAACTATATAATCGTTTTAATACCGCAAAATAACCTATATTAAAAGGTTATAAAAGATAAGATAAATATACTAATATATAGATTAATATTACCTTATTTTACTTACAAATTTTATTAAATTTAGGTATTAAATAACTTTTATAGCTATTAAGTATTAAAAGCTAGTACTCCCCCTTTATATATAAAGAAGTACTAAGAATAAAGAGCTTCTTAAGCTAATAAAGGCTAATTTTATTAGAGGTCTAGCCGTTAGGACTAACTTCAAAACGCTAATCCTCCGGGAGGCTGTTAAACTATAATTTAATAAAGACTTTGCCTTTAAAAATTATATACAGAGAAAGGGCCTAGCTAGAAGTATTTATATACTTAATAATAGTTACCTACTCTCGATTTCTAGGTTATAAAAGTACTCGCCGGCTATAATATTTACTCCTTATTATAACCTTTATAGTTACTATTAACCCTATTATAAAACCAGTCTTATTAAAGTTATAAACGTTATTAGGGTTAATTCTAAATTAAATAATCGTTTTTTAAACTAGATTAAACCACTCCCTAATAATTTTAGGGTCTTTATATTTTGTACGCTTATAGTTATACTATTTTAAGAATTAAGAGGAGAGAAGAGGATACCTTTTAATAAAGTTTATAACCTAGTTTTTACTAACTAAAAAAACTAGGGTAATTCTATACTTTTAAAGAAGAAGATCTACTATTTCTTATATTATAAAGGGCTAAGGGGCTGCTCTATATAGATTTATAAAGAGTATCTATTTTTAAAGAGATTCTTTTTTAGTCTTAGTAAGTTTATATAAATTAGTATAAGAAATTATATAGTTTTAAATACTACTTAGGTAGCGGTATAAAGAGGTTTCTAATATTTTAAAATAATATACTACCTTATAAACTAAAGAGATTTCTTACTTCTTAAAAGCCTAAATAGCTAATAAGATCCTACCCTCTTACTCTATTAAATTTCTAGAGCTTTAAGAGCGAATTAGTAGTATAGTAAGTAGTTAAAGAAAAATAGATTAAATTAATTAATATATTTTAGGTTAAGTACGCTACTTACTTATATATACTACTTATATATAAAATATATTATACCTATAACTAACTAACTAATATATTTAGTAAGTAAGTAGTATATATAAGTAAGTAGTATACCCTATTAAAAATATATTAATTAATTTAATCCCTTCTTCTTTAACTACCTATTATACCACTAATTCGCTCTTAATCCTTTTAAAATTTAATAGAGAGAGAGGGTAGGATCTTATTAGTTATCTAGGCTTTTAAGAATTAAGAAATCTCTTTAATTTATAAAGTAGTATACTATTTTACTATACCTAAAACTACCCTCTACTACCGCCTAAGTAGTATATAATATTATATAAATTCTTATATAAATTTATCTAAATTAACTAAAATTAAAGAGAAATCTCTTAAAAAATAGATTCTCTCTATAGATCTATATAGAGTAGCCCCCTAGCCCTCTATAATATAAGAAATAGTAGATCTTCTTCTTTAAAAGTGTAGAACTACCCTAGTTCTTTTAGTTAGCGAAAAATAGGTTTATAACTTTATAAAATAGTATCCTCTCCTTTCTTCCTAATTCTTAAAATAATATAATTATAAGCGTATAAAATACAAAGACCCTAAAATTATTATAGAGTAGTTTAATCTAGTTTAAAAAATAATTATTTAATTTAGAATTAACCCTAATAATATCTATAACTTTAATAAGACTAGTTTCGCGATAGGGTTAATAGTAACTGCGAAGGTTATAATAAGGAGTGAATACTATAGTCGGCGAGTACTTTTATAACCTAGAAATCGAGAGTAGGTAACTATTATTAAGTGTATAAATGCTTCTAGCTAGGCCCTTCCTCTGTATATGATTTTTAAAGGTAAAGTCTTTATTAAATTATGGTTTAACAGCCTCCCGGAGGATTAGCGTTTTGAAGTTAGTCCTAACGGCTAGACCTCTAATAAAATTAGCCTTTATTAGCTTAAGAAGCTCTTTATTCTTAGTACTTCTTTATATATAAAAGGGGGGTATCGGCTTTTAATATTTAATAGTTATAGAAGTCATTTAATACCTAAATTTAATAAAATTTGTGAGTAAAATAAGGTGATACTAATTTATATATTAGCGTATTTATCTTATCTTTTATAACCTCTTAATATTAGTTATTTTACGGTATTAAAACGTGCGTACGGTTGGATAGTTAAGATTAGACCTGGCAGTGACCCTCCGGGTGGTCCATGACCTTGGACCCTCCGAGGGTCCAGCGACCCGCCAAGACCTAAATTTTGACATAAATATATATAAATCATGGTTTATAAGCATATTATTTCCTAATTAGGATAGGTTATGCATGCATAATTTCCTTGGCGGGTCCAGAATCCGGACTTTGGACCCTCCTTAGCGTCTTGGCGGGTCCAAATGGAGGGTCACTGCCAGGTCTAGTTAAGATAAAAATGCGTACCGGGATTAATTATATTAATAAACTTAACTTCCTTAAGGTATACCCCTTCGTACGAATTAAAGCTTTTAAATTAGAGACAATTAAAAATAGCTTCTTAGCTGCTGGTTTAGTACTATTTGGACCCGACCGAGTGCTTTTAAAGCTTAATATATAGCTACAAACCCCGACCCCCCCTCTGAGCCGGGGTAGTGATTGGGACCTAAAAACCCCCTCGAATTACATCCAATTACAAAAGTAAGCTTTATCAATTAAAGCATTACTTCGTATAAGATTAAGGAGCCCTCTAAGTCCTCTTAATTCCGCTATAAACCAGGTCTTAAAGGCATACCAGATCACTATACAATCCGCCGTACTTCTTGAGAAAGAAGTAAGCGAATTACGCGCCGCTAACGAGAAGCAAAAGCAAAAGCGAGGCAAATCCCAGAAGCAGATATATGCCGAAGAAGGCCTCTTAGTTCAAGAAGCTTCTTAATTGATTACTGAGCTAGTGGAAGCAGATTAAGCACCCCCCCCTCTCTACGAAGAAGCCCTTCGCCGGCTTTGAAACGACGTCCACGGGCTCCACAAAGGTATAGTGGGTGCAGAGAAACAGGTCATGTATTTAATAGATGCCCAGCTAGATAGATGATTTTAGTGTATTTAATTTAATGGCGTTATGGTTGAGATAAATACATTTAAAATAGGTAGGTTAGAATAGGTGCGCCACTCGCTTGCGTGCGCCGCTCGCTTACCGAATACGTTAAGTACAATGTTGAATTATATAACCTATTACTACTGTATGTGGCTGTACACATCATTGCAGCCTCAAAATCCACGGCCAATAAAATCCTCTCAGTCTCGGAAATAAGCGACTGAAGCTTCTTTATCCCCGGCCCGGTCCCTCCCCGAACCAAGCAAGCTCCAACAACCCGTGCAAGTCGTCAATCGGCACCAACCAAATCCAACCTCCAATCTATCTACGGGGGCACATCTTTTCTGTCCAAAATCTCGCCCTTACTCTCCCCATATCCCCAAATCCGACGCCGCCCAAAATGCCCCCTCCAACCCCAATCCCAATCCCCCTCTTCGCCACGACCCAACTTACCCTCCTCCACGAAGAACACGCCGCCGAAGTCTCCTCCTCAAAACTCGCCAGCACAGCCGCAAGCGTCTCTCCTGCAACCCGCCGAACCCTCCAAGCAACCGGCTACGCCCTAACAGGCCTCATCCTCTCCCAATGCCGTACCGGTCTCGGCGGTCGCGTCGTCGGCGAGTTCGCCCCGGACCCAGCAGTCGCGTCAGAAGAGTCCCGGTCTGTGGATGGGACGCCTCGTCTTGGATCACATGGGATTCGCGTGGGCGACGTAGTGAGAGTTAGTGATATTGCGGGGGCGGGGAAGAAGGTTGGTGGGAAAGATAAAGATAAGAAGAAAGACAAAGATGCGGAGAAGGGGGTTGAGGGTGTTGTTACGCGTACTGGTGATCGCGCTGTGTGGATTGCGTTTGGGCGGCAGGGTGGTGGGGGGATGTCTAAGGAGGACGATGAGGCTGTTGAGGAGCTTTGGGGGAAGAAGTTGTGGGCTATTAAGCTTGCTAATGATGTTACGTATAGGAGGTATGTTGGATGGATTATTTGGATTTGGGATTGCTGGGTTGGTTGCTGACTTCGAGCTAGGATGAGGCAAACTATGGAGAAGATGGTCAAGATGCCGGAGACTGAATACTCGCATTTCATGCGTGTTGCGTTTGGGCATACGACGCCGCTCCAGCTGGATACTGAGGCGTGTGGACCTGTGGAATTTACCGATCCTACGCTTAACGATTCGCAGAAGGATGCTATTCGGTTTGCGCTAGCTTCGCGCGATATTGCTTTGATTCATGGTCCACCTGGGACGGGAAAGACACATACGCTTATTGAATTGATCTTGCAATTTGTCCAACGGAAAAAGCGTGTGCTTGTCTGCGGACCGTCGAACGTTTCTGTTGATAATATTGTGGAACGTCTGGCTCCTAAGAAGGTTCCTGTTGTGCGCATTGGACATCCGGCTCGCCTGCTTCCTTCTGTCCTTGAACATTCTCTTGAAGTCCTTACGCAGACCTCTGATGCTGGGGGCATTGTTAAGGATATTCGCAAAGAGATTGACGAGAAACAGGCTAGTATTCGTAAGACCCGGTCTGGTCGCGAACGACGAGGTATCTATGATGATTTGAAGTTGCTTCGGAAGGAGTTCCGACAGCGCGAGTCTAAATGCGTCGACAACTTGGTGCGCGAGAGTAGCGTGGTGTTGGCTACTCTTCACGGTGCTGGAGGTCATCAACTCAAGAACCAAAAGTTCGACGTTGTGATTATCGACGAGGCGAGTCAAGCTCTTGAAGCACAATGTTGGATTTCTCTTTTGGGTGCAGATAAGGTGGTCCTTGCCGGTGACCATTTGCAATTACCACCGACCGTCAAATCTACGGGGCAGAAGGATAAAGCTTCTAAAGGCACCGATGAAAAGACCGACACCAACACCGACATCGAGACGTTGAAGGGTGTCTCTCTTGAACGCACATTATTTGATCGTTTATTAGCCCTGCACGGACCAGGGATCAAACGAATGTTGACCACTCAATATCGCATGCACGAGAAGATCATGCGATTCCCCTCCGATGAACTCTACGACGGAAAGTTGATAGCCAGCGACGCAGTCAAAGCCCGTCTACTAATCGATTTACCATACGAAGTAGAGGGCACAGACGATACGCAAGAGCCGCTGGTATTCTGGGACACCCAAGGTGGAGATTTTCCCGAAAAGGCAGAAGATGAAATAAGCAAAAAAGGGGCGTTGCTTGGAGACAGCAAAAGCAACGAGATGGAAGCTATGGTGGTGGCTAGACACGTGGACAATCTGATTGATGCAGGTGTCAGACCCGAGAGCATTGCCGTGATCACCCCCTACAACGGGCAATTGGCTCTATTGTCGCGGATGCTACGAGAAAAATACCCCGGCATTGAACTTGGCAGTGTGGATGGATTCCAGGGCCGCGAGAAAGAAGCCGTTGTGGTGAGCCTAGTGCGCAGCAATGCGGAACACGAAGTGGGTTTCCTAGGCGAGAAGCGCCGGTTAAATGGTATGATTTTTCCCCCTTTCTTTTTTTGCTAGGCGTTCCTGCAGGGAATTCAATATATCGCTAACCATGCTGCACGTAGTGGCCATGACGCGGCCCAAGCGACATCTGTGTATTTGCGGAGATTCAGAGACGATCAGCCAGTAAGTGCGGGATGAGCCATGGAGTTCGAGGGTTTAATGCTGATCGACATTCTTTTTTTCTTTTTGTTTTTACAGCGGAAGTAATTTCCTGAAACACTGGATGGACTTCCTTGAAGAACATGCCGACCTACGATACCCCGACGCTGGAGATTTACTATAGTCATCGGAACTTTTCGGTGCAGATCGAGAAGCCCCATTGAGTTCCAGAACAATGTCGATCTTTGTAGAAACGGCATAGACGGGATATCTTCCAAGGTTAAATTTAGTCCCGGGTGCACGGCCTAAGTAAGGGATGATGAGCAGGGGGTACTTGGTATACTCAACTTGAACAACTCAAATACTTTTTCCCCCCCCGAAAACCATTTGAAAACCATTCGAAAACTATCCGGGATAGGAAGATAAGGTGTTTTGAAACGCCCAGTTAGATGATCATTTCTGCAATGAGGCGTCGGAGATGTATTTCCCAAAACAGAATAGGGCGGTTGATTCTTCCTCCTCCCGCCAATCCATGACGGAGACATGGCCACGGCTGACAGAGGGGTTCGAACACGATAAAACAAAACACCTACGTGGGCTACCGGTGGACTACTAGCGATACGTGGACTAATGGGCTGATTGAAGTTGAAACTGTTGAAACTGTGTCGTGTCACTTGGGAAGTCTGTGCGGATAATAGCATCTCCATGTCTCCATGTGGTGTTTCAGAACATTTCACTTTGTTTCTCCAAAAGGGAAGTAGAAACTATAGTACACAGACAGTACACAGACAAGATACAATATACAGACAAGATATTATCTTACCAACCTTGGAATCTTTTAATATCCCCCCTAATTCCACTTTACCTCTTTGATTCTTGGCAACAAAGTCGGCTGTGGCGCGAACAACTCCCCGGTGTGGGGATAATAGCTCTCTCTTTCTCTCTCCTCTCTCTGTCTCTCCCTAATCTCTAACTTCTCCCCTTTGTTTCTCCCCTTCCTCCAGCCTTTGTTCCATTTTTTTTACTTTCGCTTTGTTTTTTATGAGACTAGCAAACGGGGAGACCTGTGATCATTATGTTCCTGATCATATCCGACTCTGTATGTTCTGTTTGTACCACATTGGTTCTTCAGCTAACATGCGTTTGATAGCTTTCCATAGTCTCAGTCGACTAAATTCAGCCTTTATTCAAATTCGTTGATACCCTGATACCCTTCGATATTTATTTCCCGACACTCGCTTGAAATCCTTTTCCTTTTCTTTTCTTTTGCGCCATATACCCATATTGCTTGTAATGATCAGAGTCGATTTCTTATCCATACCTTCTATGCCCTCTATTTGTCGATTGCGATCCTCCATACCCCGTCGCCATGCCGAGACACCCTACGCGATCCATAACGAGCGCCGGCAGCGAGTCTATTCGGAGTATTCCACAACGATCTTCTCCCCGAGGAGAGCGCTCCGGCTCGAACTCGACATCTTACATGGGAGACAACGATGATACGGCGCTGCCGTCAATGGAATTCCACTCCCACTCCCAGCAAGCTATTGCCCATCGCCGAACGGGGAGCACCTTGAAAACCGTCATGCGCAAGATCTTCAACCGGAAAAGGCAAAGTCAGGCCGATGAACTGGAAGAGAACCCATATGAATCTACATTTGCGATGCCACCGATGCGGAAACCAGGAGCGGCGAAAGGAAGATCATTGTTGGCGATTCCGCCTCCTCTGAATCTGAATTCACACCGGGGTAGTCCACTCTCGGCGCACAACCTCCAGCTCGCGGAAACACATATGTCTCCGCTTCTGTCTCCACTGTCTCCTCTGTCCTCTGCAACCCTGCGTGATTCAATGCCGGGTAGCATGCAGCCCCGCCGAAGACGCGCAACTCTCCCCAGCGTGGTTTTTTCAGATGATGAATCTCGGTTTGCCGTGGCGTCAATAGCAATATCCGATCCGCAAGAGGATAGGAACCATATCCCAGAGCGAAGACACAGCTTGCTCTCACACCGCCTATCAAGGAGCACAGATGCATTGCGCGAAATGACAGATAACATGCCAGAGATCATGACCTCTTGGCCACAACGCACTTCATCCGCCCCTCTGCCGGCCTCGGTTCTTGGGTCACATTCCCCGCCATTGGATGAAAGCTCTAATAGTGGGCAGTCGGGGAGGCCCTCATCGGGAACAACAGTAACGAGTGTGACCCGAATGTCCGCTACACCGTCTTTGATGGAAGTTGAACGGCATACAGAACAACCGAGCCTCCCGTCGAACGTCGCAAGTCTAATCAACTCAATGCAGCAAGATGACAGTGCCACCCTGGAACAGCGGTTGACCACGCTCGAAGTGAAACTAATCGATTTGGAATTCGCCATTGCGCGAATGCAAACCAACTGTCCCGAAAACCCCACTGAAAAACCGTCGCGCCCGCGACACCCCCCTTCCGCAGACTCCTTCCCCCCTCACATGCGCAAAAAACCCACCGCATTCATATCCTGCGACCGCGACGATTTCCCCAGCCCCCTCCCAAACATACCCACCCGCCCCTCCAGCACAAGCACAATCCGCGCAGATACAATGACCCCGCGCACCCTCCGCCCCGCCCCATCAGCCTCATCCCTGTCCGACTACCACGGCGTCTCAATCGAGCAATACAGCACGCTAGTCACGCTCCTGCGTCGCGAACAAACAGCCCGCAGAAACCTCGAGACACAAGTCGGCGGTCTGCGCGATGACATTCGCGATCTGCAGCGCGCAGCACTCGAGTCCATGCAGTCGGGCGTGGGAATTGGCATGATGCAACCCGTGCATCCCACGGAGTCCCGGCAGTTCCAGCGCTTCCGTCGCGCGTTAGATGACTCCGATACCTCTCCAGTGGTGAGGCCGGATGATAAGCGCACTGGTATTGAGGATACTGACTCCGACTGGGATCGATCGGATATCTATTCCCGTGATGATCCGTTCGGTCCTTCAAAGTGGGAGCGTCAGCGGGTTGTGACCGCTCCTATGATTTGATTTTGTCATGTTGCAGAACATGCAACTTTTTTATTGTTTTCTTTCTAGCGAGTTTAATTTCTTATCTTCTATACATTCTAGACTGCCTAGATGGGTACGATGTACTTCAGGCTTGTCAGTCCTTTTGCACATGTCAATGCGCCATTTCGGACCCCCAGGGGAATCCCCGCGACAGGATCGCGACTTTGACCAACGTCACCGCGCTGAGCTATATGTCGAGTACATGTCCGCTCTCTCTCGTCTCATGGAATTGGAGAGACACAACATCTTAGAGTTGCACACGCAAACGCATGATTCGTGACGATTGGCGCTACCTTGTACCCTTTCAAGTTTAATGTCAATATATACTTCTCTATTCAAGACAATCCCTGTAGACAGCGTCCATATCGATGGATACCCTACGATGTAGATCCCCTCATCCATGCTGTGCATTTCCCGGAAAACTACCCGCGAATAATGTAGATCAAATACCACCGTGGAATGCCCGATAGCCCACTTCCCTGGCCCCCGTCCAATCCGCCATCTTCCATTCCGAAAGACACCCGCGTTCGAAAAGGTTATACCCCTCTATCTGACTCCCCGACGTTGGACATACAGTCATTATCGTACTAATCACCGGGGTTCCATACCACCACATACGCCCATGTGGCTGTATGGTACATGACTCTCAGCCTTATACATTTATACAATCTCATGCAAGTACATGCTAGTGCATGACAAATAGAACAAAATCCAAAGATATCTAAACTATTTAACTTCCAATTCCAACCACCAATCCGAACCCCATCCTCATCCTGATCCTTAGCCAACCCAAGCCAACCCAAGCCAACCCTCAAAAATGAACACCAAACCAACAATAACAATAATCGGCGGCGGAATAGGCGGCCTAACTCTAGCAGCCGGCCTACACCTTCGCAAAATCCCAGTCCAAATCTACGAAGCAGCGCCCTCCTTCAAAGAAATAGGCCTAGGGATCTCCCTCGGCCCAGCAGCGTATCGCGCAATGCCCCTGATCCACCCCTCCATCCAACAAATCTACAACTCCCTCATAACAACACACGCAGACAGCCCTGGCTACGAAGAATACCTCCAAACATGGTTCGAGCTCGTCTGGGCAACGGGAAAAGAAGAGGGTGATGTTTTAATGAACCTAAAAGCATTACCATCCGGCCAGACGGCGTTGCGGAGAGCGGATTTCTTAAATGCGCTTGTTGAGCTGATCCCAGCGGAGATCGTGCATTTCGGGAAGAGGTTAAGTACACTCGTTGATAGGGATAACGGGGTTGTGTTGGGATTTGAGGATGGGGAGGTTGTTAATGCCGATGTTGTTGTTGGTTGTGATGGGATTCGCTCTATGGTTAAGGAGTCTATGTTTCCTGTTGAATCCTTAACCACGAAACCCGTTTATAGTGGGATGTATGGGTATCGGGCTGTTTTGGAGATGGGGGATATGATCGAGGCGGTTGGGGAGAAGAGGGCTCGCGTTGCGACGATTTATGTGGGACGGGGCGCTTATGGGATTTCTTATCCCATTATGCGCGCCAAGTTGGTTAATGTTGGGATTTACTTGTTGAGTGATGAGGACTGGGAATATGAGTCTTGGGTTAGGCCGGCGAGCAGGGAGGGTATGGAGCGGGATACGAGGGACATGGGGCGGTATGTGAAGGCTCTTGTTGAGGTATGTTTCTGTTTTTTTTTTTCTCTTACGATTGAGATTGGTGTGTTTTTGATGCTGAATTGCTTTCCTTGTTTCTTATAGCGCATGCCCGACCCATCTCAATGGGCTATCTTCGAGCACCCACATATTGCAACCTATGCGCGCTCCAAGGTAGCGATTCTCGGCGATGCAGCACATGCATCTACGCCGCATCAGGGTGCTGGCGCAGGTCAGGCTATTGAGGATGCACATGTTCTCGCGGAATTACTGGGTGATTCCCGTGTCGGCTCTGTCGATGATGCTGTTGCGGTTTTCAAGGCATATGATGATATTCGTCGGCCACGGAGCCAGAGGGTTGTTACTAGCAGCAAGGAGAATGCGGATATCTTTTGTTTGTGTTTTGATGGGGTTCGTGATGATCCGGTGAAGCTGAAGGAAACGCTTAATCAACGGTTGAAGTGGCTTTGGGATCTGGATGTACAGGATCAGGTCGAGCGCGCCAGGGAGAAGATGGTTGAATATTTGGAGACACCGACCGGTAATGGCCAAGGATTGATTATAGCGCAATAATGAAATAGTCACTTTAACGCGCTCTTTGGCTAGGCCAATTTAAAACTTTGCTCAGCACACATGACATGACGTCCGGCGCATCCTTATTCTAGATCTGGGATCGATCAACATGCATCTATAATCTTGGCGCTGTGGCTTACTCGCATCGACCCTATGGGTGCCGGCGCATGATATTACCCGATTCAGTCATGGATCGTCAGCCAAGAGCGCCGTTAGTACTTACTATACTTCAACTTCAATTCTCATTTGCAGCTATTCGGAAACCGCCATATTGCCTTCTCGTATGCCACAATAACGGCTAATTCATGCGCTGGACTTGATCTCAGCTCAGTTCAATGACGTCTTTGGCTTGTTGGAAATGAAAGATATATAAGTTGACTAGATCAGCCGAATTTCTCGGCTTCATCAAACACGATGTCCTCAAAACCAACATACTATAGCAAGATGTAATTAAAAGCTTGGATCCCACTTTACTTTCTCTTCTTGTAATAGTTAAGGCATCAAGACTAGGTCTCAATTCATTCAATCGCCGCCAACCGTTCCCGATGAACCCACAGGCGTGAAAACTATCCGGACTGGTAACAATCTTACTATTCGCCATAAGGAGGCTAATGTCTGCGAACCCACCAAATGAGTCAAGTTGTACTCAGGTTGTGTGGACCTTGCATCAGACTCGCATACTTTCTTCTGGTTCTCCGAGACCCGGCATGACCCAATGACTATTTTCTTCAATGAACACAAAAAACCAGGCACAACTAGAAATAAATCAACACGGTTTTCAATATATGAATTAAGCTTGGAGGTTTGAGATTGGGTTATCTCTAGGGCTTCCGATCGAGAAATAATCCCCTGTGATTGGCCCATCGTTGGATCAGGAATAGGTATCTACATCTGACATCACTGTAGTGACATCAACACGTTCCAAGGGGTGAACTTTTGACCACCTCCTTGAAATGATTCTCTGCACATCTCATTCAATAACCCATCGGGATAAATGGCCCCAAAGAAGAGAATCGCCATTATAGGCGCGGGTGCTGCTGGCATGTCATGCGCTTCTACTCTAGCTAAACATCCGGAATTTGCAGTCACTCTTATCGACACAGCGGGCTATACTGGCGGACAAGCGACTTCTATTGATATAGACGAATCGACACATGGCGCCAGTTGGTTGAATGATGGCGTTCAAGGAGGTTCGCAGATTTTCCGGCATACGTTTCAATTCTTTCGTCGCTATGGCTATGAGCCTCAGCCGGTGAAGCTTCAAGTGGCTTTCGGAAAGGGCAAAGACTTTTGGACCAATGTCTTTCCGAGTCCTTTGGTCGACCAACATTCATCGGAGATCAAGAAGCTTTCGCGAGTTTTATCTTGCATCAAATATTTCATGCCCATTCTTGGGATTATGCCAGTCAAGATAATTCTACGACTATTTCGCTTCAGCTCTGACTTTAGCAACAAGATGGTCTTGCCTCTTCTGGCTTTGTTCTTGGGCACGGGGAACCAAACCCCTAATGTGTCGAGTGTTCTGCTGGAACGTCTCTTCAACGACCCCCAGATGAAGCTCTGGGAATATGATCCTGACACACTCTTGCCCAATCTCCCTACCATGTACACATTCCCAAACTTAAGCAACTTCTATCGCGACTGGACGTCGGATCTGCGCGCTAAGGGTGTTCAAATCCGGCTTAATTGTCACCCAGGCATCATCGAGCGTGGAAAGAGAGGAGTCATGCTGCAACTGCAAGATTATGATGATGGTCAAGCAAAAGGGGATCCGTCGATTGAAAATTTCGACGACTTAGTCATGTGTTGCCCTGCAGATGAAGCAAAGAGAATACTGGATCACCATGCTACGTGGCGTGAGAAATATGTTTTGGGTGGCGTCAAGTTCTACAACGACATCACTATAACCCACTCGGACTCGACATACTTCCAAAAGATCTTTGAGATGCAATATGATCCCGAGTTATCAGCGAAGCCCTCTTCTGAAACACGAAAAAAGCAAATCGCATTTGCCGAGCAGGAGCCCCTGAGCCAAAAGGATGGTTGGCTAGGATTCCGCCCGATGTACTTCACACGCTCCTACGCATCTGACCCTGGTAAGATAGAAATGGGGTTCAACTGCAGCCATTACCAACACCAATTTCGTGATAATCTGGGTGAGAACAAACCGCCACTCCCGCAAGACCGGCATGTGTTTCAGACAATATTCTTGGTATGTTATTCCTCTGTAAAACACACAACTGAGGTCTTTTACTGACGCTCATTTTATCAGAATGACCAAGAAAAGGATCTCTGGACATGGAACGACATTGATCCGTCAAAAATTATATCGTATGTTGTTAATTTAAATATTTTTTAAATTACTATAGAAAACATGTTTCTGACAATACTGCCTAGTCGCAAATGGTGGCACCAATTTGGTCATCGGTGGCAACACTACCTTCGAGTTGTTCTAGGAATGATGTTCATTAATGGCACCAACCGAACATTGTACGCTGGAAGTTGGACTATGGTGGTGAGTTCCTCATCCATGTCATTATCTACGAAGCTCACATGTTGCATTACAGAATATGCACGAGATTGCATGCATCTCTGGAATTGCTGCAGCTTATCAGCTTGGCGCTATTTATGAACCGTTCGATGACTTTGCCGAGGATTTCTTCGCTAAGTATTTGTTAGTGTGTCATGCGACAAGGTACAAAAAGAGCAAGACAAAGGATACATGAAGATTCATTTGTTACCATTTCCTTGTTTGGTTTTATCACTTGCACTGTCTTAAAGCGTATACTGGAAACTTTCAATTCTGTGCTCGGTCTTGTTGGATATCATATCTTCTAGCTCCTCTGCACAATGTTCATTGAGCGTGGACTTACTAGGTATTGCTTGCTATCTAGCCCGACTAATCCAGAAACAAACCAGCTATACTGGGTTGTACAGAGAAAGCAATGAGGTAGTGTGCAAAAAAGAAAAAAGTATCTTCCAGTTGGAGTTGTATAAAAATGTGCCCGTGACCGATCATGCGTATTAGGATTTAATCATATCCCAATCTTCATGATAATGAAGCAGTCGGTGACCTCCATTGGACTTTTCGGTAGCCTCGTAGTATTCCTATCGTTGTTATGGAATAACTACTTTTGTCACAATGAAAGATCAGAAACAATCAGCAACCAACGAGTAATTTACGCGACTTATCTGAGTGCGCCCACCGAAACCAAAGATCACTTCATCTCCAAATTCCACAACACCAGCGATCCATATTTCGACGCAGCTCGAATCCTCACATACCAGCTCCTTCACGCACCGGAAACACGAACTAGGTTAAACATCCCATTCGTGGTCTTTGTTCATCAAAATGTCAATAAGGAAAAGAGAGACCGTCTGCAATCCGACAGCGCACAAGTAATCGAGTGGTCTGATTTCCGAGTGGACTGGGTTCGATCGACGGAATCCCGATGGGCCGATGCCTTGACCAAGCTGCGGCTGTGGGAGATGGTCCAGTATGACCTGATTGTATTTTTGGATGGCGATTCCGTCCTGACGAGATCTCTGGATGGAATCCTCAGCGCCCAGTGACTTGGCTTGCAACAACCACACAAACCTCATTATCTGTTAATGGGGTTGAGGTACCCCTGCCAGAGACTTACATTGCGGCTGGCTTGCCACAGCTCAGACATAATCACTCATCGCACCCGTCCCGTGTCCCGGAGGACTTCTGGGACTGGGATACCTTGAATACTGGCTTCATGATCTTGCAACCATCACTTAAGATGTTCCACTACTTTGAGGCCTTACTGGCAGTCCGGGGTAGCTTTGATACCAGCATAGCCGACCAGAGTGTCTTGAACTTTGCGCTTTCTCGTAGAGGCCCTACCCCGTGGACTGCGGTGGACTTCTCGTGGAATATTCAGTGGCCATGGCCGGAGGATATTGAAACAGGCCATGCTGTTCTTCATGAAAAGTGGTGGGACCCTACGCACTGGGAATCTAGGGACTATTTGCTCTCTTGGTACTGGCAAATGATTGGGTATTATTCCATATCGGGTTTATGACTCACGCGAAGTTTGGGATACGAGATTTTTCTATGTTGGCCTTGACTTCCTGGGTGGAGATGGGTTATCCGGCGCTATCTTTCTTTCGGTTTCCCCTCGTCGATCGCGCCCTTCGCTTGACAAGTTGCATTCTTTTGGACTTTTGACACTAAAATATCACTTATATCGTTTGTCGAACTTCGTTTTTTGAGGTCCTCACTTTATTGTCAAAATGTCTATTCTCAGTATGGAACACACAATGCAGATGCCGCAGGCTATAAATACCATCCAATCTTCACCAACCCCCTTATACAGAATCAAAACCTTCACACAAAGCGATCTTCTCAAGCAGCCCTTCCTGCGTGAGCTCCGAGACGTCATCAACATCAGCTACTATGATACCGGCCCTACTTCTTTCAAAAAAAGCGGAGCCCGGCTCATGAGCGACACCCAACTTGTCGATGAACTCCAGGAATCTGGCGTCATTGCAATCGCATTCGCTGAAGGTGCGATCATTGGCACTGCAAGCTTCAAAACCTGGTCGTCGGAATCCCAAGGCACCCCGTGGAAGTTGCCGGGCCATTTTGAACAGTTCAGTGAGGATGAGATCTTCTCCGCGAGCCATACGGTGCTGGATAGCCTTCATGATGAATCTCAAAATACGCCCTGCGATGGGGATTTCGAACTTGTAGCTGTTGCGATTAAGCCGGATCCTCAGTATAGGAGGAAAGGCATTGTGGAAACCTTGACTAAGGCGTGTGAAGAGGAATTGAATAGGAGAATGTCTCCTGAGCGGCACACTGGATTGTCCCAATCGCGCATTATGCTCAAGTGCGTTCGCGAGGTCCGGGGTGATTATTGGCTGAAAAGGGGATTCCACGTCGTGGGGGAGCAATATTGTCTTCCTTTGACCTGGGGTTACAACAAAGGGTTTGTTCTTTGGGCTATGGAGAGAAAGTTATCTGTTTGAAAGTACATACGACCGTTTGCGTGTATCTGGAAAAAGCAATTTCATCATGCTGGGGCCGTCCCCAAAATGCGCATTGGTTTGCCTGTGTTGTTGTCTCTGCTGTTGTATATCCTACATCCGAGAATTAGGAATTTCATTCTGCTGTATTCTGTAATATCTCGGATACATGCGCAGGCAAGTTGAAGATGTTATCCAGTCCCTCGATTTGCATCTGATTGAGTCGAACTAGACCAAGCTGCATTAGGCCTTCATGGCTGCGGTGCTGGCAACGAAGCGTGTGTGACCACAGATCAAGCAAATCCCTTGATCTCAATGCATGTTGCCTGGTGGGCGCTTGAACAAGGAGCAGAGTGACAAAGTTAGATACTGCGGCGAAACAGGTTCGATTCCCTGGTAGGTAGACTGGTCAGTTGCCGTAGCATGCTGCATTGGAAGGAAGTCATAACCTACAAGGGTGCCAGAATGATCCAAACTCATGGGGGACCAAGGCCCCAACGAAATTAAGGATTATAGCCGCACATTTTTCCGCAGCCTTGAGGGTAGCCTCTTCAGCCTCGCCAAGCTGCATGGAATTCATGGCTGGTAGTTGATCGAAGACGTGTCTGTCAGACGTTAGGTCTTCAACAGGCCACAAAGAACCCATTGGGGTTGGGTCGTTGTCATCTGATATCGGGGGAGGTGGCGGTGATCGCGCAAGAGGACGAAGAATGGCACGGTAAAGGAACATTTCAAGAACCAAGTATGAAAAATGAAGGTCACCCGCACCCTCAACTCGGTTAGACGGCAAGTGGCTATTTACACCAGAGCCATGCTTAAGTCGCAGAGTATCAGGAAGCGATAAGTACCACTGCTGAAGCTGGGCGCGGATCGGTCGTGCAGCATCGATGGACGAGCGAAAGTCATCTGACAATCTCTGCGAGGCTTTTATGGTACTATACAATCAACAGCAGAATTAATCGGGTTGAAAGAGATTGCGCTTACTAAAATGTCCGGCACATATTCTCGGCGATACAAGCCAAGCCTGTGGTGTAGTAGAAAAGTGGCTGACAAGCATGTTCATGATCTTCTGCATTCTCATCTTGCATGAAATCACTAGCGCTCAGCTCGAAGATATCATTCTCGTCAGGGTGGATAAATGAAGGCCGACCCGCAAGAAGACTCCGCCATTTGTCTTCCACGTAGACTGCCCACCACAATCTTCTGCGCAGGCGTTTCTCCCATGGGGGAATTCCCCATGGCCGAGGTTCAACATGGAGACCAAGAGAGACAGCGAGGGCTACCGTCGATCCAAGGAAAGACCAAATAAATGGGCCATCAGGGAGGGCTTTGAGGCTTCCGGCGGGGATTTGTTGAAGATAGAGCAACGAGGCTTGCAAAACTGCCAGCTTCGGCGTATGGGTCTCCTGGAGGATGAGCTCGTGGACCATCTGCCACAACTTACCGGACAAGAGCTCGCCATATGCAGCAGATACACACAGCACTGGGTCATGGACCGCGAAAGGGATGGCAGAGGCATAAATCGCTGCAAGCAAATGGACTGGGATCTTCTCCAAAGCAGCAGTTGACATGGATGAAGAAATACCAAGCTGGGACCTAGATATTATTGGGATTGCTGGGAACACGAATCGAAGAAATAAGCATAGAAGCCGTTTGCCGTGTGCGGGCGATACCATAACATCGAGTTGGTTCTGGTCCTGCATCTGATCCTTCTGGGGCCGATTATCCATTTCCGAGCCCTTTGGAAGCATAAGTTCCTTCTCGGTTTCAAGAAAATGAACCGGCACCAGCCCTTCAATTGGGACCCCGCCGACATTACGAATGCGAGTCCGATGCAGGCCGTGCATGCCATATTCATCGTATCGGCAATGTCGAAGTAGCCACGGATCTGATTCCGAAGACATGCCGTAAAATTGTGTGATCGATCCTTCAATGAGATCTAGGGACCGAATGCGTTGAACGGGTTGCGATGCAGGACTAGTAATGGCCCCGGTTTGCTGCAATAGCTCTCCACCCGTACCCGTAGGATAGTATTCTACAGACTCCGTTGAGGGATCACGGCTCATGAGCTCAGATCGAAACTCATTTTGAGTCCGTTGCCCCGGCCACACTTGAGTTGGGTCATTGTGGGGGTATCCCCTGTCCTGGTTGAATGCCTCATGGCGCAACTGTGTATCAGGGCTGAGTTGAAATGTTGTATCTGGCATGTTTTGAGACCCAGTAGTGCGAGAAGCTTGGTTTTGTGTACTCGTGCGCTGGGTCTTCAATCTGGGATGCAGTTTGAAAGAGCATTCTTTGCCATTATTAAAACAACTCCTGCAAGGTGGACCCTCTGGAAGAACACAGGCTGTCTTTCTGACTCGGCAGCGGTCGCAAGGCCGGTTGACCTTCGATCTATATGCACGCCCGGTTGGACTGGGGTGATTCATTTGGACAGGCTATAGACGACATGCAGGAAGACGAGAGATATGTTGTTTGAGGGCTTGTTACATAATAAAGGATCGATATAGAGAGCAAAACTGTGTCGCATTCGATATGTAGCCGAGTGGACGGACCGGAAGAAAGGCACGGAGAGAGAAAAGAGGAGAGAGCTTCTACAAAAGGAGCCTGAGGCTACCAAACAGCCCAAGGTTGGACCTTGGAAAAACAAACGCATTAGGTAAGCGCCTCGGATGGGCACCTGGGCGAAACGCGTCAAATTTGGAAACGGTTTGGAATATGCGAGCAAGTCTCATGAAAAATTGATATGACAGTCGAATTCACTTTAGTTTTCGGGCGATATACCTTCGTACGTACGGTTTCACACCGAATTTTGCAGGGTCGACGCCCCGACGGGGGCTGGGGTGTGCGGGAAATTTGTCTCGATGTGAATGAATCCAAGGCATGGTCGTCGATGATGTCCTCCGCACGGGAGCAGACTATATACTCATGCCATAATTTGTTTGGTGTGACGTACAGGATGACCTTCGAATTGTAGAAGGTATCCAATCGCAGGGCACGGAATAACTTCATATCACGGAGACGGAACTCGCCGGGCTCTCATGCTGGTACCTCGTGGAGTGATTCCACACGTAATTGTGAAGGTCAACCAGGGGGGGAGGGTGTTGCGTGTCCTGGACACTGTACTCGTTCACCAGCGCTAGTTCAACGGTGCCATTGGCCGTACAGAGCCGGCTGGCAACATGATACAAGGCTTGCGGCGCTCCAATGTTGGACGCGATGGCATCGATAATCCGGGCCTCCCGTCCTTTCAGCACATTTGATGGCCCGAGCCTGACCAGGAAGTTGACCCTGTCTTTGCCCTTCCACACCTCGGACGCTATCTGGTCTTGTCGGACCTGCAACACCATGTTCTACAGCTAGTATGTCGCGTCGACGGGGTGCTCTAGCGGCGCACGGTCACCGAGGAGAGCATGACCTCATCCGCGCTCTTTGTCCGTAATGCCTTCACCCTATGAGCATTTAGCACCTCTAGGTACCTCTAGGCGATACTACTCATGTACTGGGAATGACAGGCATATTTGACCTGGAGCAGATAAGTAAAGATCACTGCTGAGCTCTTTCCGCGCGACGAGGCTAGTCAAAAGTGGCCCTGGATGGTCATTCACTCCATATGGGCCTCGAATTTGACTTGTTCACGCTGTGAAATACTCTAGAATGAGGATTCAATTTATGATTTCTCCTAGCAGAAATGATAAGGTGTGTGTGAATTTACTATATTTGATTGACATCATTGCCTAGTATGGTTGCATCATCCAAACCATGCACAAAAGACTAGCATGGCATTTCCAATGAGAAAGACACCACCGGACTACCACCGAATGCCATGAGACTAGCCAGTCCAATGGATTCGCACTAAGGGCGCGCTAGGGCGTACCGTAAGGCTAAGACGGCATCGAGAACCTGACATGCATCAACGCGCACGGCCTGAGCTCATCCGCTAGTCCCTAGCCCTAGACAGGGATCCATTCCATATCCTTGCCAATGGTTGGTCATCATCATGTCCTGGTTTCAAAGCATTCATGAAAGAGCATATAATAATTATTAATCTCCCATAGGGCTACCCCTCAACACCTCCTTTAGCTGGCTATTTAAAGGCAGCTGCAAAGATGAAACCTGGTCCTCATCATCTCCATCTAATTCATCTAAGTCTATTGATCTAATTCCAACGCTGCCACCTACGACACCCACCCAAATCCTTCCATCCTCCATTATTTAACTATGACTGTTTCCGACAACACTGTGGTTCTCGTTACCGGCTCCAGTCGAGGCAAGTGCTGCCAGAGCCTTATTGTGATCAAGCTGACGGAAGATAGGAATCGGAAGGACCTTGGTGGAAACCATCCTGCTTCGGCCTAATCACGTCGTTATTGCAAGTGTCCGCGACAAATCCGCAGACTATGTCAAGGAGCTAGAGGCCTTGCCCAAGGCCGATGGCTCGCAACTGCAGTTAGTACAGATTGAAAGCAGCAACCCGGCCGACCCAGCCGCGGCCATTAAGGGCCTTACGAACATCAACTACATCGACGTAGTAGTGGCCAATGCTGGCGGAGCCGGCGAGAAGGGTGTTATCCCGCTAGACGTAGTGAGCTCCGAGGTCGCGACTGACGTGTTTGCCGTTAATGCGCTCGGCCCCCTGGCCCTGTACCAGGCCGTTAAGCCTTTGCTAGAGAAGTCCCAGACCCCTAAGTGGGTATCGGTCAGTAGTGCTGCCGGTTCAATTGGCCGACTCGAGGTTCATAAGGCTCATATCGCTCCGGCGTACGGAATTGCTAAGGCTGGTTTGAATTGGATCACTACGTAAGATACTGCTAGTTTGAGCCTACCGTTGGGAATGAATCGGCTAACCCTGCCGGACGTGCAGTGCCATTCACAGCGCCAATAAGGACTTCATCGCCTTTGCTGTGCATCCCGGGTAAGTCACCAGAGACACCATTTACATGAGAGATTTCGCACGGCTGCTGACCATCTGACAGCCTTGTGCAAAGCGAGAGCGGCAATAGGGGTGCCCGCGCCATGGGCCTTCCCCAGGCCCCCAACTCCCTACGCCAGAGTGTCGATGCCATTCTCCTCCTGGTACGTGATCACCCTCCCTATCTTGAAGGATGAACAATGTTGACTCACTCGTGCAGATTGATACTGCGACTCGGGAGTCGACCTCGGGCAAGTTCATCAACGTCATTGACGGCACAGAGATTCCGTGGTAGAGGCAGCGACGACCTATCTGAAAGCCCAGTGACGCTATTTATAGGCTGCAGAATTGAGAGAACATGTACCCTGCCTCGCAGTGCATATCTCGATCATCCATAGAATGTCTGTTATGATAATGTTTCATACTTGTTGATATTTGAGATACAAGCAAACACGCTTTTGTCCTAGCAGGTTGATCTAGTAAGGAGAGTCTAAAGAAGTTTCCATCCCACAAAGCAGGTACATATAATCCAAGAAAAACGCAATTGATTCTCGGTACTAGGGGCTCGCTCAGTTCTATCACCTATATGCGCTAGTAGGTTGATGATGAAACCGCAGGAAGCTGATCATAAGAAGTTGAGGTGCTTATAAGCGAAGTATCGGAAAGGACCTTGTGATATGATGGAGTGCTGCCTATTATGGGGGTTTCCACCTTTCGATGACATAGGAAGTCTGTATTTAGGCACAATAAGGAGAAATATGCTAGTGCAAATGACGAGTAACAAGACATTGATGAATATCGTGATGTGGATTTGCCGCAGCCTTGCATAAATTATGCAGTCAAGGACCCCATGGAAAAGCTTGAAGTTGTCCATCAATTTGCCCTATTATTTCATTTATACAGCCAAGCTGCAACACGTCGTGGGTCTCGATCGGCTCTGGGAAGGCCTTGACTCAGTTGGCTTGGACCACGCTTCACGTACTGGCCATCCCGGACCTTACCAAGGATCTTACCATTGGCCCACATAACTTTTCCTCGTAGAATCGTATAACGAGGCCAATTGGTCATCTTAATTCCTTCGTACGGCGTATCTGTGCGAAAACAGTCAGCTAAATGTAAATATGGTGTGGATGTATCCCTTACAATCGACATTGTGGTGGAGTTGGGCGTTGGTGAGATGGAATGGCTCAAACGTCTTATGAGGGTGCCACTGATTTTCATAATGTTAAAACTCCAATCGGAGATTGTATCAGGAGAGAGACACCCACAATAACCAAATCGGCGTCAGATCCTGGCATCAGCGTCCCCTTTTTCGGATATAACCCGTACTATATTGAATCAGTGATGTGATGGATTGATAGACCAAGTTAAATCGTATTCACCAATTTTGCTGGATTTGTAGATGTAAGCTCCACAAATCGTTGTGGCGATATGCGCCCAGTTGCTAGTGCGCCAGTGTAGAGTAGTGGGAGCCGAGTTTCAACGCCAGGAATGCCGTTAGGAATCAATTTAAATGACCCTTCCTTGCGTGTTAAGAGGCCATGTAGATCCTCACAGGCATCCGGCGACTCCCCTTCCATGCTCTCGGCGTGCTCAAGCACCCCGGAAGGCTTGCCGTGGGGGCAGTCATACCGAAAAGGGCAGTGATCTGATGAGTAGATCGTAAAGGTTCCATTGTGAAGACCACTATGCAAATTAGACAGATTTCACTGATCATGTTCTTTTTTGTACATGAGACTTACACGAACAAATCTTCTTGATCAGAAGCATCCGGGGGTGGGGGAGGCGAGCAGATCATTTTGCTGTTTTCGAAACACGTCGGTGAATGGAACCGTTTCTAGTCAATCAACTTCTCTTAGAAATTGCGAATCGTCGATAGATATAGGAAACTTACCAGGTCGTTCCATGTCAGATGGAAATATTGAGGGCATGTTTCGGCGTACACAGGAAGTCCTATATCCTGAGCCCGGCGCACATTGGCCGCCCCAAGCTGACAAAATTAGGCTCGGCCTTGCAAAGTTAAATAGGAAAGAGGTTGATCTACTGCAGAGCCGACATGCACGAAAAGAATCGGGTTTTGGATCAATTGTGCTAGGGAAATGGCGCGATTAGTCGCCTCCCCTTCGACAAGAGGGGGGCGGGACAATGCGTGGTAGTATGGAGCTACAACATGTCAGCAGCTGTCCAATAAAATAGAGCTCAAATAATTCTACCATTCATGCCTTTCTCCTCAAGTTTCTCTGTTGCCCAATCAGCCTCAATCGTTCTCTTCGCCGCGATCACTCTTACTTGTAAGCCATCCAACCATATCTCCATTTTCGGCATGGATCATCTACACAATCAGCTATTGTTCGGCTTCTCTTGAGAAATATACTTACTGTGGTGATGGAGTTCTTCCTAGCAGCCCACATGACATCCAAGAGTTGCGAATCTGTCAACCGTTGCGTCTCATACGTCAGAAATAGCTTGCAGCTGCTAATTCCCCAGTCATTGATCAAAACTGGGAGTTCGGTCTCTAGCACGTCAGCATCGTTGCGAACAATAATGATATGGAACCCATAATCCACGTAGCTGCCCGTCTCTTCGGCGCGCGCGTTATAAGACTCTACGACCTTGAGAAGACTTCGGTCTTCTTCTGCTCTGGTCTGTGTCGCGAAAGTGATAATAGTCGTCGTTCCACCGGCCACTGCACTCCGTGAGCCCGTCTCAAAATTATCGGCGCATTCTCCTCCGAGACCGTGTGGTCCTACGGACAACTCTGTCAGAGTAACTCCAGTATAAATGAGGTACCGACTCACCGGTTTTTAAGTCTTGACATAAATGGACGTGAGCGTCGATTCCACCAGGCATCACATATGCACCTCTAGTTGTAATGGTTAGAGAAATTATAGTTCCATGTCTGCATCTAATCAAAGCTGCCAAGAACGCACTTGGCATCGATCACCTCAGCACCTGCTAACTCATCTTCCGAGAAGCTCTCGACGAGGGTGTTGATTTTCCCATTTTTAATACCAATGCAATAGTCACTTTCCCTTCATTAGTATGTAATGGACAGTGTAGAGGGGATAATAACATACCTGATGTCACTAGCAGTGACTACTTTCCCGTTGAGGACCACCAGATCGAATTTGCTAGCCATTGTGTACAGCTTTGCTTCTGAAGGTTTGGAAGAACACTTGGCTTTTGGTCTTATTAGTGCTAAATACCACTCAAATTCCACATCTATACTATTATCTACACAATTATCAATTTATTCGGGGTTCCCCGATCGGTTGCCCGATCGCCCGATCTTTCGCCAAGGAACCGGCTCAAAGGTCCTTATCTTCGCGGAAATGCCCGATTTACTACTCCATGTGGGCGTTCGAGTCAAAATTCTTGGCCTTTTGGCAGCCTGGAGGCTTTCTTGCCATCGTGGTATAGTAAGGAGGTCTACAGATGGAAATATGTTAGAAATTTTAGAATGATCCTCGACTGCTGTGATTGTAGGGTTTTTGGTCGTGGAAAACTCCAACAAAATAGAAACATATTTTTTAACAAGGGATGGGATCTAATAAAATTCCGAGAGGCCAGTTGATAATCGAGTATATTTGGAAAGAAATAATATTGTCTGTTATTACTGTGTACTAGTTCAAAGGGAAGAGCTGTGCAAACGTCTGCCCAAAATAGAACGTCACCCTTAAACACTTAAAACATTGCCTCCTTTTGCATGTCCATCGTTTCTTCTTCCAAAGAGCCTTTTGAAGGCTTCACTGTTATTCCTTCAATGACAGTTTCTTGTAAATAGTCTGGCACGATTTCATCTTCGGGGAAAAAGCCCTCCGTGTACCTCATGGCTTCCCAACTGGCGTCTTTTGCCCTCAGCTCGGTAGGATAAATCTGCACTGGCCAAATCCTGCAGCATATGTAGTATACCAGCGCTGCGAAAGCGGTAGAAATTAGGAAGCCCATATTGTATATTTTAACAGCGGCGTCGGCGACTGATCCAGGGTTAAGAGCACCAGAGACACCTGGGATGACCAGAGCGATTGCGCCGAACCAGGCAGCAAACGCGCGTAGGTTGAAGCCACCGGTGTAGAAGTACGGAGTGCCGGGTTTTGCGTTATAGAGGGAAGGAACATGAATGTTTCCTTTGCGAGCAATCCAGTAATCGACACTAAGAGTAAAAACACGTTAGTAGTTGAATAGTCTGGGGGAAATATAGGATCATACATCATCATAGCTACAATAGGGCACATGAAACAAAGGTATGAGTTGAGGAAGGTCAGGAAAGACGAGGCAGAATATGTTAATTTCCATGGAACTGTGAAATGCGATTAGCTTTAAATGGGTGAATTTCGATCGTGAGAGCTTGATTTCTTACCTACTACCCATGCCAATAAGAAGCAAAGCACCTGGCCACGGACAATTGTTATGTACCGTGGAAATAGACCAGCGAGATCGCATCCGACTGGGATCGAGTTACTGGTGAGATTTGTAGCAATCGTAGCAAATGCCTGTCCATGTCGTTGTTAATAGAATGAATCGAATCTTGCTGAATGGTAATTGCTAACCTGGATACCCGCACCAAGGAACACAACCGTTCGGGTTCCTGGGCCCCAGTAATGGTCTAGAATACTAGAATAGAGATCCCACATATTCCAATACGCCTATTCTGCAAGTTAGTATTGGATATTCTCTAAACAAGGGATCGAATGTATAGACAATACCTCTCCAAATTGCTTGTATCCAGCGGCTGTGATGACCATTCCTAGAAAGACCACAAGTGGTTTGCTCAAGATTATTCCAATTGGCAAGGGCAAAGTGTCCCGTGGACACTTCGCATATCTTGTGAGGTCGGGACTGTTGACCAACGGAGGAATCACATTAGAAACAATACTGTTAATGGCTTTCATGAAAGACCAGCCCAGAACGGCCCCAGATACGTTGCTAGGTCCGAGCCCTTGGAAATCGACACCATGACTGGAGACCTAAAAAATCGTAAGCAATAATGCTATTAATAAGACCCAAAGTATGCTTACAACTGTCCAGATCATTGTTGCAATCAGCCCAATTGGGGCAATAACTGACTTCACCATAAACACGGTTGACATTTTGCTCGGGTGGACAAATGCAAACGGGAACTGGAGAAGCCAAATAATAAGAAAGGAAATCATTTTGCCCGAGGTGATACCAGCTGACTCAGGGAGATCTGAAGACATAGTTAGCTCTGCAGCGGACAATCAGACAGACATGCATACAATTGGGAAGTTCAGTCCAATTGTGACCGAAGACACATCGAAGCATGACGTTGACAAAGTAACTAGCGTACAGCGATTGGATTCCCATGTATAGAATCGCGACCACCTTCAGACTAGAATCAGATATGCTCTCAAGTCTTGCTAGTGCTGCAACAACATACCCCTCGGAGGAAGATGAATACGAGTGATCCATAAATACCGGCGGAAAGGCGGACATAAGTCGGATATCCCAGATGGTACCTGTAGAAAGCATCGTTAGATCTCGAATACTGAACCTAGATGCGAAGTCACGTACAAGGCAGCTCCACGGGAGTTCAACCAAAGCAGTCCGCCCACTAAGAAAGAGACGATGACTGTTTCTAGGTTAGTCACCTTGGTCGCCAGAAGGTGCGTAAAGTAATCTCACAGGAAGCTATCAAGATGGTCCACCAGTTCAGACCCGTAGCGTAGAGGCTAGCCCCAACATTATATGTCGTTGGCGAAAAGGCGATGCTAAACTGAAAGGCAAAAAAGGACCATGGTGTCCATACTCGCTGGGAAGGAGGAGATGGATCCAAATCTTTGTTCGACCAGCTGCCGAAGAGTCCGGCCTCGTCCTGGGTTTCCCGGTTGTTTTCAATACGAGCTGACTCCAGCAGGGCGCGTGGACTGGAGAAGGCCTGCTTGATAACTGTGAAGCGCTGTCTTACTGTTGACATTTTGGTTATTTGTTTAATTCAAGAGATGATAAGTCCTACGAAAAAGGAGGATAATGTGACTCTTATAGAATCATCCTAGAACCCAATCATCAACCCACCATCTAAATGAACGACTAGTGCCATTCTAAATGCTTCTAGGCCTCGGTAGATAGCACCATGGGGAGACCAATCAGAGTCAAGAAAGTTGATATCTAGGCCAAAAATGAAGATTGTAAGATCGGGCGATGTATATCGCCCGATCGGTGGGGAATTCTAAAATCTGTAGCTTATCGTTGACAGCTATGTTTGATTATCTTATTTCTATTTCTTCTTCCTTTTTTCCTTTCTTAAGCATCAATTGAGCTTCCAATCGCTACGTTCATAAATCATCATTTCACAATGACTAAACGTATTCGCCTCGGCATCCTCACGCCTTCCTCAAACACCAGCCTCGAGCCCTTGTCGCAAGCGATCATCGCTCAACTCCCCAATGTCTCCGTTCACTTTTCTCGGTTTACCGTTTTGAAGATCAGTCTTGAGCAGGATGCCCTCCAGCAATTTCAAAACGAAACAATTCTGACAGCGGCCAGGCTGCTAGCAGACGCCAATGTCGACATCATTGGCTGGAGTGGCACTTCCTCCGGGTGGCTAGGCTTTACCGCCGACGAAGAGCTCTGCAGACTCATTACCTCCGCGACGGGGATCCCCGCTACCACGTCCGTGTTAGCCTTAAACAAAGCACTTAAGGTGCTCGCTGCTACCGAACTGGGGCTTGTGACACCATACATGGACAACGTGCAGGAGGCCATTATAAAGATATACCAGACAATTGGTGTTGATTGCAGCAAGGAAAGGCATCTTCAATTGTCGAAAAACACTTCATTTGCCGACGTCGATGAGCCTACGCTCGACGAAATGGTCGCCGACCTGGCGGGCCGCCAGGTGCAGGTTATCTCCACTTTCTGTACTAATCTTCGAGCTGCTCAGAGGGTGGAGTACTGGGAGAAGACACATGGCGTGACTGTGTTAGATACGGTCAACACTGTCATTTGGGATATGTTGTTAATGTGTGAAGTTGATCCGACTGCAGTCAAGGGATGGGGTCGGTTGTTCGAATTGAAAGTATAAGTTGGCAGCTACCAGATATCGACGAGGGGAACAATCAAGGCTGTATTCAGCAATCGCAATTTTGCATTACACCCACCGAGGAACACAAAGGGAAACAGGATGCCAGTCCAAGAAGTGAATTGAGAGAGGTGTAGGAGTAGGTTCATCCAATCTGTAACTATATGCTAATTGTAACCTCTGCATATCAATGCTTGCTACAAGATTGCTGCCTTGACTCATGCATGACCCGTTGCAATTGCACACCTACAGTACTATCGTAGCATCTTTCCTCCTAGCCGTTGTACGTACCTTGTCACATTCGGGTTTTAGGGATGAAATAACTTACCAATACTTCTCTTACAGAAATGGTATAGGTTAAGGTGCAGAGTTCTTGCTTCCACCCCTGGGGTGTTTTACATTGCAAGGTGGTTAGAGCAAACTCTGTTAAGACTCTGCTACGAGACGAAATAGACATCGAGGAGTGGCTGAAGATAAAGCAGTGGCTAGGCTTTGTGGTTTAAATCTTCAATTCTCGCACAGCGAACTTCAAGGTTAGCATGACTCGATCCTCCCAATGGCGATATTGTGACTCAAATTGGGATTCATCATCTGGGTAGAGATACACAGACACGATCTCTTGAAGCATCTTTCCCTATTCTATAGATGTATTCTCGAATAGTTGTAGCCCTGTTCCTGTAGTTCTACCCCAAAACTCTCCTGGAATTCCTTTAGTGCTTCCGCTCCCTTATAAGAATGGGAACAGTTGGGTTGGGAGTGAGAGCAAATTCATTCGTAAAATTGGGAGGACGCTTGCCATCCTCCTCTTGCCACTTGAACTCATAGTTCTGGAGGAGATTAATGAAGACAAGCTTCAGAACCTGTTGCGCCAGAAAGCGGCCGGGGCAGGCGTGGAAGCCGTTGCCGAAGTTAATCGAGTCATCCGAGACGGATCCGAAATGGAACTTATTGGGGTCAATCTCCTCGCGCTTACGCACCCAGCGCTTTGCGTCGAATTTCTTAGCGTTCTCATTTACGTCGTTGTCCCAGTTCAGATGCTGGTTAGGGAACGCGATCCGAGTGTTGGCAGGGAGATGAAGTCCGTCGCGAAAAGTGAATCCGGAGACGGCACTTCGCTGCATAGTCACTAAGTGAGATGTCAGATTATGTTGCAGGTTGTAATAACAGATCGAATGGTGAACGAACCTAGACTAAGAGAATGGATACGCTGGCTCTCCTTCAGAAAGCTATCAAGTACGTGCAACCCGTTGAGTGCTTGTCGATTGACAGTAGGGTTCAGTAGCTGCATTTGAGAAATTTCCTCTCGGATATCGTTCAGAGATTCGGGACTATCCATTAGGTCGTAGAGGGTTGAGAGAAGAGTGGCGCTAGAGCTATGCGTGGAAGCGATGGTGAGAAAGAGCTCATCCTGAGCCAGCTTCTCAGCTGTTAAATCCTTACCCAGACCGCGGTACTCCTCAAGAAGCCATTGCACACCGTCGTTGTACTTGGACTTCTCGCCCTTGAACTGCGAATCCAAAGCAGCCTTGCGAGCATTTAAAACGGGACGAAGAAGCTCAACGGCACGTTTGCGGTTCTTGATAACCAACTTGGTAGGTTCCTCGAAGTATTGTGCGAGCCAGCGTGTCCAGGGATGGTACTTGGCACGCACACTCTGGGATGCATTCATGACATTCATGGTGGTCTCAACGGATTGACCGACCCATTCATCATTACCGCTAAGCTCTGCACCAACCAGAACGCGAGCAGTGATACGGGCCACCATGTAGACAATGAAGTGGTAAGGGGCGGTAGGCGTCCAGTCTGACAGATCATGATCAGCATGTGCCATGTTGGGAAAGCGATATGGAGAAGTCATTACCTGCACAAGGAGGGACTACCTTCTTCATTCCGGCAATGCATTCTTCATTCATGGGTTCCAGGAGATTGTCTATTCAAAATATCAGTCAGTACGGCAATTAATTCATGTTTCAATGAGTATGCGGGAGAACTGACTGAGAGCTCGATTGAGGTCTAGTCGGGCCATGTGAGCAGCCTCGTCAGTCTGCTCTGGACCATGAATTGCTTTCAGAAGGAAAGCCTGCGAATAATGTTCAGTCGGTGCAAACTTAATCAAATTGGCAATGGCTGACGCACCTGCGTCGAAAATAGAGGAAAGCTTAGCTGGCTCTGGGGCGCATTGCGCACTTCCGCCAGATACTTCATAGGCAGAAGAACTTGGGGCTGTTTCGGATTAGCCGGATCGCGCATTGAGAAGGGAATTCCTTTTTTGAGATACTATCGTCTATGTTAGAGGCCAATATAATTTGGTTGGTTCAGAGGAGCAGGTCACATCGTACTTGGGAATAGCCTTTGTCTAGGAGACTGGTGGTATCTGACAGGTATCTCATGGGGGAGTTATCGCCATCGAAGCTCAGATACGGCATGTTGAGCTTTGGTGACGACGCTAACTTCACCTTGATGAGCCACGCTGTCAAGACAGCTACGGCGAGTATCAACACAGTGCCCATCTTGAGATACTTCAGAGGTACTTGGTACAAGGTTGCACTTCGTGTTCGTCAAGATGCAGGGAGCAAAGATGGCGTCGAACAAAAACACAAGAATCAGGTTGAAGAAACTCGTACCAATCCCAGCATGCGTATGAATTCAAAGAATATTACTGGATTGCCTTCATTGAGGGATATGTCTCGGTGAAACAATATTACGAACGGTTCGGATTGGGGCCGGCCTTGGTACGGATGTGGTGATCTGACCGGAAATACCTAAGCAAAGGATGCCCATCCAACAATGCATGAATCATTGTCCGGAGTGCTTACCTCTGGCTAAACTTGCGCCCATGTTTAAAGATGGGTGGGGACGGAGTGATAAGCCAATCGGAGCGAGTGCTGACTCCGATTGGTCAAGAAAGTGCGGGCCGAAATGCGGGGCCGGACACTAGATCCGATGTGCCTCCCGAGGTCTTTCTGGCTGACGGACTACCGAACGTCTCCGGCACCCTTACCGCTTATGGGAAAATCATCGGGCCACGATCGACCGCTGCAGTATTGGTATTAGCATACACTGAAGTACCCACCCCCGAGGTCCCTGTCAATCCCGATAAGGCGCAGAAGAGGGGCTCGGGATGTTTCATGAGATGTGATAGTTGGAGGGACGTAATTGTACGTGAGCGTGGGGGTCTTCCACATGCTTGAGCGAAAAAGACATATTTTGTAGATAATTTGATGAAGCGATTCACACCTTAGATATTGTACGATTTTTACCTTGCTATCAAGGCCGTATTATTTTCAGCAAGATGCCCTCGGCAGAACCATCATGGCCGGAGCGCCAGACTGCCATCATCGCCAATGCAACTGGCGATCTCGTCGTGTCGCAAGATGTACAGCTGCCAGAATTGGAGCCGGATATGCTCATCGTCAAGACCGTGGCCGTCGCGGTTAACCCGTGCGATATGAAGATGACAGGTTCAATGGGTATTAAAGGTGCCATTTCAGGCGGTGATTGTGCTGGTATTGTCATTGCCATTGGCTCTGAGGTGCCTGAGGGGAGATTCGCCGTTGGGGATCGTGTCTGCGCAGCAGTCCACTCCATGAACCCACTTCTACCTCGAGTTGGCGCATTTGCGCAATACGTCGGCGCAACCGCCGACTTCACACTCAAGATTCCTGATGACATGACATTTGAAGAGGCATCGACTCTGGGAATCAGTACTGCCACCATCGGCTATGCTTTGTTCAAGTCATTGAACGTTCCAGGCCACCCCGACAAGCCAGCTATGAAGCCAGCTTACGTCCTAGTCTACGGAGGCAGCACTGCGACAGGAACAATCGCCATCCAGCTGATCCGCCGGTATGAAAGGCCCTTCAAGTTCCATAGTATATCATGTGTGCAAATCTCTGACAATACCTGTTTGAATAGCTCGGGTCTGATCCCCATCACCACCTGCTCGCCGAAGAACTTCCCGCTCGTAGAACGAAGTGGCGCTGAAAAGGCATTTGACTACCACGACCCCAATATTGTGAAGGAGATCAAAGCGTACACTAAGAACGCCCTTCAATATTCGTTGGACTGCTTTTGCGACAGCGCCAGCATGCGTTTCTGCTACGCCGTGCTAGGGCGGGCTGGCGGGCGCTACACCACGCTGGAGTACTACAACCCAGAGCTACATACTCGCAAAACAGTCAAGCCGGACTGGATCCTCGGAATGGCACTATTTGGTAAGAGAATTGGCTGGAAGGAGCCATATAATCTGGAGGGTGATCCGGAATTGCGCACCTTTGGAAAAGACTGGTTCATGACCGTCCAGCGCATGTTGGATGCCGGCGAGATCAAGCCGCATCCCACTAAGCTGGGCGGGACAACTTTCGAACATGTCATTGAGGGTGTGGATCTGCTCAGGAAAAAGGCAGTTTCCGGACATAAGCTTGTGTATCATATTGCAGACCCTTGAATTAGATAGCTTCAAACAATACTATGTTATTTTTCTCATTTATTTCTCTTATCGAAGATGGCTAAGGGAATTGGGCATATCATATTGTGATCTATATCGAACAATCCAATTTGTGCCATGGGCCGCTAAAATCTCCATTCTGTAGCATCAGCCTGCCCAGCCCTTCCAGCGCACTACGCCTCTAAAGGAATCTTCCACTCAGCCTTCTTCTGCTACACGACAAAGTTCTTCACCAACACCATGGACTTCTGCGGGAACTTCATGAACTCGGTGAAGGCAGGGCCCTCGTGTTTCTTGGAGCCAACCAGGCCGCCAGAGACGAGGCCCGAGTACCCAGTACCGCCCACACCTTCACCCAGGTTGTACTCGAATCCCAAGTTCTTGTGGGTCACGACAAACTTCCACCGCTGATCCCGGCTGGGCGACACCAGCTCAAGCTCGACGCCAGTCACCTTGTCGAGCAGTTGGACGCTGGTTGCACCCTCTCCGCCGTACAGCTTGCGCATAGTGACGTAGTCCTCTGTCTCTGAAGGCTCATATCTACGGCTGCTGAAGATCTTCTCGCCTTTCTCCGCCAGCAAGACTGAGGGCACATAGAGGTCGTCGATGCGGTTGGAGCCAAACTCGGTAAATGATAGGGCAAATGGGCCGGGACGCACGCGCACGGCAATCATGCCTGAAAGGCAAGTGTACCAGTTGAAGGCGCCCCAGAGGCGCTCATGACCACCCATACCGGTCCAGGAAACCTCGCGGCCCTCAATCTTCACGTCTAGGATGAGGTCTGACACGGGGACGGGCTCGACCCAGTAGAAATGGGGCACAGTGAGAAGGCTGGCACCCTTGGCCTCCCCTGGGTAGATACTGTTATCGGCAAATCGTGGCGGTGAAACGGACGTCCAGGCAATTGTGCCCTTAGCCTCGGGATTGTCCATTGTAATGCGGGTGCGAGACAGGTCGGCGGTGATTTCAAAAGTGTAGACCCAATCATCAGCCTTCCAAGTGCCTCGAGTGCCCCGGCCAGGGCAAGACTCAATCGTAGACTCCTCAGCGTACTCAACAACTGCATATCGTGAGCCGTCAGCAAAGGACCATTCGGCTGACAGACGGAGGTTTCCGGTTCCCAGGAACGAGTAGTTAGGATCGCGGTAGAAACCAAACACGAAAGCCTCGAGACCATCGTCTGAGATGCCGTCAAACTCCCATTGTTCACCAGCGGTGGCATTCATGGGCTCAATGGCTGGTTGTTCGAAATCGTACTCGGGAGTACTCAAGAAAAACACGGGGGTATTTCCCCTAGCCATGTCGTATCGTGACGCATGGCTCACAGTGCATTCATCTGATACCTGGACAAGAGGCTCATTTTTCCAGTCCTTGGTCCACCCACGAGGCACCTTCAACTTGGCAGCAGTGCATGTCGTGGCCCCGAACAAGGCCAGCGCCGCTATGAGAGAATGGCTGCGCATGGTGATGGAAGAAATGAGATCTTAACGACAACCAAAAATAGAGACAAAATCTAGCAAAGAACTTAAATAATGTGGATGAAATGGACAATGATGTTTTTACTGTACGAAACCCTTGCAAGAACGGAGCTTAGAATAAAAGAATCCAGCCTAGCCCTTATTGGTCGTGTCCCTCAGCTTGTAGGCGAGTAAGAAAATGTGTAGGTACCTTCGGAGCGGGCTGTGGGGCTGTTCCTAGGGGCCAATCCGCTGTGAGACCACTGGCACCGGACCTCCGATCCTACATGATGGGTCTACGCCGCGACGATCCCATACCACCCAAAATGTCAGTGCTTGATATACGAACCTCACACTAAGCCGTTGCCTAATAACGTAGTCTGTATTTCGTGCAATTGTGAATCCGAAAGACAACATAGACATAGCAAACTACCAATTTCCATCATGACGTTGAATATCCCATCCAGCCAGACAATCATCAGGCAGCATGATGACGGTATTCTCAAAGTGACGCCTGGTTCGCCAATCCCGGAAATCGAGGGCCATCATGTCCTCGTACGCACCCATGCAGTGGGCCTATGCCCTTGCGACTTCAAGATGCCATTGCGGTTTCCCACGTCTGGCCTCTGGAACGGATGCGACTTCTCAGGAACTGTTGCGGCGGTCGGCTCTGATGTTACGCGATTTCAGGTCGGCGACACTGTCTTTGGTGCCGTGCATGCCTCGAACCAGGCCGACCCGCAGTCTGGATCCTACGCCGAATATCTGAAGGCTGAGGCAGACTACATTTTCAAGACGCCGCCTGGTATTGACCACATGAAGGCGACGGCGATGTACGGTACCGGTATTGCGACTATTGCCATGGCCTTATACTCGCTCAAGATTGCTGGCGATCTGAGCGCGCCCGCCGAGGGCAAAGCCTCCGAGACGGTTCTCGTCTTTGGCGGCAGCAGCACTGTCGGGATGATGGCAATCCAATTATTGAAGCTGTAAGTATAAACACGAGATGAATTAACGGAATAGTTACTGATCTAATTTGTTCCAGTCTCGGCCATCGTGTCATCTCTACTAGCTCGGAGAAGAACATGGAATTGGTCAAGTCTTACGGCGCCGAGGAGGTTTTCGACTACAGGTCACCCACATGCGGTGCCGACATCAAGAAGTACACCAAGAATTCCCTTCGGAATGTAATTGATCCGTTTGGAGAAGTCAAGACAATGTCAATTTGCTATGAGGCTATTGGCCGTGCTGGGGGCAAGTATTGTGCCCTGGAACAATACCAAGAGGCCCTGGCAACTCGCCGCACGGTCAAACCGTTCCTGATCATGGGTTCCTCCATTGCTGGCCGTGGTCTGGTGCTGCCAGATCCATATGGAAGCCCGCCCGACCCTGAGTTGGGCGCCTGGTCGCTAAATTTCTACAAGGACTTGCAGGTCCTTGTAGATGAGGGGAAATTGAAGGAATGCCCCCAAGAGATTCTCCCCGGTAAATTCGATGCGATTCTGCCAGGCCTGGATCGGTTGAAGAATAAGCAGGTCTCGGGGAAGAAGTTGATTGTACCGTTAGTTTAGAGCTGTAGTATCAATTGAGAATTATATGCACAACCTCTGTCCCTCTCGGTGTGTTTCGCGCTTGGTTCAAATTATATCTTTCACAGCGAGCTCTCAAGTGTAAAACAATCAATTAATTGATGCTACTTATACCATAACATAAACCAGAAGGGTGTGACATCAAAAGAGCACTATATAACAAGCGAAATCTAATCCTCCCGGTAGTCATAAACTAGCCTAACAGACACCTCCTGATCACCCTTCTTGGTGACGGTGGTGCGGGTAAAGTAGCGCTGGCCATCAATAATCTCGAAACCCCAGGTACCAACAGCGTCCCAACCAGCGCCCTTATTTGTCGCAATCTCCTGGATCGCGGCAGCGCCAGTCTTGCCCTCCTCCAGACGCGTGCGCAGCTCCTTATCCTCGAGCTCGGCAAGAGGTGTGTACTTTGCGTACATGGCGATAGTGCCAAAGATAGGCACTGTGGCCTCGCGAGTCTCAGAGTCCAGAATGTAGTCGTCTTCGTTGCTGAAGCTGCCGGGGGAGATGGTCTGCTTCATGCGGACCTTGGTAATGTCGCCCGAACCGTCCTTGGCGGGCTCAGTGGAGTGGGTCAAGGTGAGGGTGACGCTGGCATAGGCCAGCACCTTGCGGATCAGCCATGGAATCCCTTGCTATAAAATTAAAACAAGGATGCAGATTAGCAAAAGTTAACCGAAAGGAAATGATATCTCTTTGAAAAAGGAAATGCGCTTGGAAAAGAGAGCACTCACGATAGCGAACGTTGGGTCAATGGGGTCTGAATGTTCGAAGTTATATAAAGAATCGTCAGGCTCCACGTCCCAAAGGATTGCTGTGTACATCAGCTGGCGTGTCAGTGCTCACCATGACCCAAACTCCAGTCATGTCAGACGTGCTCTTCTCTAGAGGTGCCGCCATCGTGTCGGTAGAGTTATACTTCTTGCTCGAAAAATTCAAAATTCAACAACTCTGTCTAATTCAATAACTGAAATTCGTAAACATCCCGCGCTGAAGTGAGAGTCTTATGTTTAATGAACATGCACTGCTGGCACCTGTTGAGCGGACATCCATAATCGGTCGGAGTCGGACTCCGACCCACATCGGAACCGGAAGGGCAGTTGCAGGATCACCACGGGGGTCTTAGGGTCTAAGAGTATTAGTCTACAAGCACCTCGGCAGGTACCTGACAATCGCTCTTCAAAACGCACTTGCGTTTGACTAAGCGGTCTGTTTCTGTTGGTCGGCATCGAAGATTCTCTTCCAAGCAGGCAGCACAGAACAGATATCGCCAAACATGAGAGTCCCACTTCTAGATCAGCTTGCAATGGCGCAGGAGCAGTTTGGTGTCATGCGAGGCGCAATGGCTTCGCTGCGCCTCAGCAGGACTGATCTCGCGCTCCTGACGTTGAGGAGGATTTGGCATGACGAGGTGGTACTCACCATCCGGTCATTGCTGGAGACGTACGAAAATGTTGCAGAGCAATTTGGTGTGCTTCGTGGTGCCATGTCTTCGCTGCGGCTTACAAGGTGGCAGCTCTTCATGCTGACGCTGAGGCAACTGTTCCATAACATGCCCAGCTTCGTCAAGTATTCGCTCTTTGCCGTAGTAACCTTTGGTGTCGTCGTTGTCCTTGATAATATCTATGCAAGATTTACCTCTCTCCGGAACCTCGGTTTACCTGTTCTCGAATTCCCCAGGGGCGACGATCGATGGGATTACAAGAGAATTCTCCGATTGGGAAAAGAGAGGGCAAGTTTGTTCTCGGCTTGTCTCGCACATCGTGTTAAAGCACTAACGTATTCATAGTACCCCAATACTCCGTTCATCATTGCGTACTCGGGATTTGAATACGTCGTCTATCCGTCGTCCAGTTTCGATGAAGTCAAGCGCGTGTCGGTCAGAAAAGCCTCCATGCTTGAGTTCTTCACTCATGTATTCTTTCATGGATGGCGATTCCTAGGCAGCGATACCAGCACTCTCCTCAAGACCATCGGCGTGGACCTGACGCGTGCAGTGCCCGTTCGCGTGCAAGCTCGTCAAGAGGACACCCAGCTCGCCTTTGAGAGGGCGATTGGACCCTGCCCCGAGTGGAAATCTGTTTCACTCTACTGGACTATCCAGGAGCTTGTTGCCGCTACCAATGCCAGTGGACTAGTTGGTCCCGAGCTTGGTAATGACCCTCGATGGGTGAGAGCCGTCCAACACTTCCCCATGGTAACCGCACTAGCCGTATACATCTCGAATGCCGTCCCGCGTCTTGTGCGCCCTATTGTCACCACTTTCATCTTCTTGCCAGCGTGGGGCTACTACATTTATCTCAAGATGCTTCTCAAGCCCATGGCCAAGGCCGATTGGGAAGAGTACGAGAATGCAAATGAGAAACAGAAGAAGGAAATCCTCCGCGCAACACCCGACAAGAAGTTTCCCATCACTGCCTGGCTCATGTCGCGGTACCGACCCGAAGAGCTCTCCCTGAGCCAAATCACGCACGATCTCATCGTCGCCACATTCGAGTCTACTCCCTCCACGGCTGGAACCATGTTCTTTATTCTGGCTGAGCTCGTGTCTCGGCCCGAGCTGGTTAACGAGCTTCGAGATGAAGTGGACGAGGTCCTCTCAAATGGACTTTTGCCACAAACGACATTGACCGAACTCCGCAAGATGGACAGTGTAATGCGCGAATCGAGCCGTGTGAACCCTTTCAGCCTCTGTGTGTATTCAAATCTCCAGAATCGCTAACCAATTCCCTAAAACCGAAAACCAGCTAACATAATGCACAGTGGTGTTGTTCCGGAGGCTGCTCACCAATGTGAAGCTATCGATCGGCCCGGAGCTCCCCGCAGGTTCACTTCTCTGCGTCGACGCGCACCACATCCACAACGACGAAGACTTGTGGGAAGACCCCGACACCTTCGACCCAATGCGATTCCTCAAACTCCGCGAGCGGGACGGCGTCGACTCGCGACACCAGTTCACAAGCCTTGGGAAGGACTCGCCCGGATGGGGAGACGGTACCCAAGCCTGCCCCGGCCGTGTCTTTGCAGGCAACACCATCAAGATTATCTTGACACACCTCCTAGACAAGTACGAGATACAGCTTCCACCCGGAGCGGAGAAGCCCAAACGACACTCAATGCCGAACGGCTCCATGGCACCAGACCTCTTTGCCCGAATCATGATCCGAGAGCGGAGGCGCTAAGGCAAAGCTAAGGCAAATCAAAGGGACGCCACATTGGATTCACGACACTCGACTTAGCACTGGGGTTCCGGTGAGGTTTTGCCCAGCTGTGTGCTACCTACTATACAGATCTAAAATGTTATAAAGTCTAGAGCTCATGGATCAGGGAAAATCTTTTCAAATTAATCCTTGGGGATCTACCACTTGCTTTATCCCTTTTCTTTCCCCATTTTTGCTCACCTAGTTTGAATGCACTCTTTCTTTATTGATTGATTTGGCACGTAACACTTAGTAGGTATTACAGACATATTAGCTACCTCCGTTAAATATATATTTCTAAATCTAGATTAACTCAACTATATTAATATCATAATACCATTATATTACCCTAAGATATTATTTCCTCATGTAAATAACGTGGACCTAGATTAGCCTATAATTATTTCAAGCTAAGAAACCATAATTTTGAATAGATTGATGAAAGAAATAAAGTTATTGAAAACAAAAACCAATAGTATCTTTACAAACGCAAAGACCTATATTTTAAGCAAACATGGGTTTGAATGCTATTCATAGGTCATTAAATATAATTTAGTTAGGTACTAGGTTTTGGGTCAGATGGTTCTACCGAGGTCTAGCCTGTACGCTTGCGATTGTCCGATGGAAGCAATCTAGAACCCGAATTTAATAAAATGGCAAGTAAAAGTGGAACTAGATCTAGTTCTAGAGTAGAATCTCTCGCTAGCTATCCTAATCCTCAAATGGCAAGATGGGGTTGCATACAAAGGAGATAACCCCTAGCGGTGGAGCCCTAGGCCACCTGCCAAGTAGCACTGCGCATCCCTAACCCTGTGAATCTAGGAGCTGCTTCACCTTTGTCGTAATATCTTTGAGCGACAGGTCTCCGGTGCCATCCTCCGTCGCTGCCCGCATCTGCTCCTGGTGCAGAAGGGTCTCCCGAATTAATCCCGCGAAGGGGTTCCCGCAGAGGACCTGGCCCTTCTGCTCCCTGTCCTCGCCGTACCGGCCATATGCCCCTGCATTGCCAATGCCAAGCATTCCCTCTATTTGCTGGAACAGATCGGTTCGCAGTTCGAATAATACCCGAATTTGGATGCTTGGACTATTGAGGATTCGGAAGCCGCCCAACTCCAGGCTCGGCAGCATCAGGAGGTTGCGGATATGTCCCGGCGTCGTAGGGAGGAGGAGGTGGTGGTGAAGTAGTGAGAATACCGAACGCCACATGCGTATCAGGTAGACGTAGGATGTGACGAGAGTCGTCATGAGGAGGACGTCGTAGCTTTCGTGTTTTGAGGAAGTGCTTGAGGTGGTCGAGTCATTGCAGCCGGAGCCAGCATATGCTGTGTGGTTTGTGGGCATAGATCCCTGCATAAGGGGCCCTTGGTTCTGTTGTGGCCTTGTAGGCAGGTTCGAGGAAATGCCGCTGTCAAAGGCAGATCCGGGTGATGAGCCACCATCGTCCGTGCTCTGACGGCTCATCTGTCGCCGGTGTGCCGGTGTCTCAGCCGCCGTTAGCTTTTCGAGGATCTTCAAGAGCCGCGAGGTGTGATCCAAGGCGTTTTGAATTGACTTCTCTATTAATTTTGGCGAACTGTCATGTGGAGGATTGCGGTGGGCGTGTTTAAATGAATGGTAGTGTTCGATTAGGGCAGCGCAGAAATTCATGGAATCCTTTAGGGGACTCTGCATGTCGTCTAAAATATGGCTCTGTGATGATTGATTGAAAACATCTGTCCTCCCGGTGGAACCCGCCATGGCTATATTTTCTTGCTGGTCAGGACTAGTTGTCGCTCCGCTCGAATTGTCACTGCAGCCAAAATCGACCATCATGAAGTCTGTTGTATCGACCTTATCCTTGCCAATTGGTCAGTGCCACTGTTCAACAAGTCCAGTAAGGTGGTGGGTGCACGGGGTCATACCTGATCGGCTTCCTCCAGCCCCATGAGTTCTGTCCCGCGCATGTCACAGTGGGTAATATTAACAACATCATTATGCTTGTCTACTGCTGGCTGGAGGCTTCGCTGTTGAGGCGACACGGTTGGCCAGATCAAGTGCATGGGATTGACGAACCCCTGGCCGTTCGACGTGTCGCTGACGGTGCTCTGAGAGTTTGATCGTGGGATTGTTGTGTGCTGACAGCTCGGTGAGATAGGCCGAGTGACTAGAAGTGATTGACGAAGTGGGCTATGAATTGGACTGACAGCCTGGTTGCGATTCCCACCCCAAGGCTCTGACGCTGTGATGGAGGCATGGTGGGAAGCAGCGGTTGATGTTGGTGCGCGGGCAGCTGACTTGTTGGTGGGTGTTGTCGTTTTACATATCAAACCTGCTTTGACGCAACGTTCACAGCTGTTTCCCTCGCCTGATATAGAGTGTCTCTCGCATCGCAACTTGTAAGTGCGGCAGCGATCACATGCGAAGCGCCGGGACGATTGTCGACCGTACATCATACAACTCTTTCTGTTTTTCTTCTTCGTTATCTCCCGGATATAAATTGAATCGAGTGGAATGGTCGCTTAGGGCCTACGATGGGAGATTGTAAAGGATGAACTATATCCTGGAGCAGCGAGCTACCATGTGACTTGGTAGTAGCTATAATATATCGTGCAGAGAGATCGGCGGTTTCCCCTCTTTCACGAAGTACCATGCATCACATCACCCATATTGGGATAATCCATAGTTACGTATAACAGTCTATCTTAGAAGGATTCACCAACTGCCTAATCAGTCGCAGATCTGTGTTTTTAACTTCTAAGGTCTCACCGATCCATTTCTATACAGCCTCGCAGCTTCCATGTTTGCACGGAAAGATAGCATTCTTTCAAGGCGCTCTCGTACACAATACTTTATATGGCGTAAAATTTATAGACCAGGGTCAATATTGGTTCGTATGTAATTGAAACAACGTGCATAAAATACGGCAGAAAACTAACTTTGACGCTTGTAGATCTGTGGGTGTGGGTGCACACCGATCTAGACTGTCGTAGATGATCCTTTTCAATAACAACCGCACTATGTATAATACCGCACTTTACAAGGTTCTACACAATCGTACTTCAGTCCCGCTGACATCCACCTTCTCAGCACCACTATATCCGGTTTCGGCACGGGGCGGAAGTACTTGAGTCTTGATCTGCAAGGTCGGCTGAACTGCAGCTGAGGTGTCCGTTGAGACATGCAGGGAATTTCATGTCTGCTGCAGTCACTTTTGCGAGTGATGCGAGTTTTGCCAATTTTGCCAGGCTGGCCGCTGCAAGCGCAACTGCGTTACGTTCCACTTTTCAAGGGTGTTAGCGCTTGAAAACAAGGAAACAATAAGATGACCACGAGCTGGTATGTTATGCGGGCGCATTTTGATCTGTGCAGCACGCAATAGCGGGGGGTTCTGGCCTTGGGTCGTCAACTTTCGAATGGCCAATAGAGCGTTCATCAATGAATGCGGCTGAACTCTCATCGTTGCTATACCCCAGTAACCATCGCCAATTGCGTTCTCATGTAAGGGAGGAATATGGGATGTAGTATCTGTTTCATGTCTGTGTCGAAAATACAGCCAATTTATCACTTGACCATAACTAAAACCAAGGTTCATATTCGGGCCTGTGGGGGCCATATTCCTAGTTTGACAATGTCGATCCGAAAATCGCTAGATTTATATTTGTTTAGTAATAATTTGCCTTATCTTTGGAACAGAGTCATTCAGTTTGGATGTAATCAGCATACACTTATGCAGCTTGGTAAAATTGAGATATGTATGTGTAGCACTCCAAGACAACAAATAGACTGTATAACTCCTGTATAATACCACAACATGATCTGGGTGAACAAAACTACATTCCTGCACAAACAAAGTGATGTCACATCGCCCGACATCACCGCTGTGCTGCTCTTTACACTGCCGCCAAAGTTCGCAGTGTCTGTTTACATTTCCCGAAAGGAGGCCTCGGCGGCATTTGGACTTTGGAACACGCGCTGGAGGCAATCCGCCATGTCCATCAACATAAGTGACGCGCAAATAACACTCTCCGGACCACCCCTTCTCTTTTTCTGTAAGGCACCGTGGGCCAACTTGAATAGAGAATTGAAAGACCTAGAGATGGAGGTAATAGGCATCACAAGCCGGCTAGAAATAAACTTCATAGTGGAGCGCTTGACCAGCAGAGTCGGCCTAGCTGTCCGGCGGCTGGTCCTAGTCGCACGTCTATCTCTATATAGCATACGATAGTGGACCCCCAAGTTAACCTTATTACGGGACACCTGCACATGGGCGCAGAATTGGTTCACATACCGATATGGAGTCTCCTTGGCTGAGCTGGAAGGCACCGGATTCGACATCATATGGAAGGCGGCACGTTATCTTGAGCCCGGAGAACGATGCATGGGGCCGGCCCCCAGTCTGCTCTCGATAGACCTGACGAGTAACGATAACCAAGTAAAAGCCCCGCGCACCCCTTGAGGGGACTATTCCCTCCGTTGCTCAACATTCCGGGCGAGCTGCAAGGGGGAAGTCAGCAACCACGTGCGCTCTCGATGTGGACGATCGCTCCACATGAAATCAAAGCAGTCCTTGTGGTGATAGCGTCGTGGGGAGCCCCGGGACCAGACGTACTTCCGGTGGTGGTGTGGCAACAATTAAAGCCAACCGTGAAACACTGGGTGCCCGCTTGTGACTGGTCACGAGTGTCAGCGTCCGCAATGGTTTATTGGGAATAGGCCTAGTTGCCTGCGTCAACCAAGTCGACATTGTCTCGTTCAAAGGGACTGTTGGCAGCAACAACACGCTCAAAGCTGACTACGCCCAGTTGAGGGCGGTGTTGGAGGCTGTCTCGTACATCGGTACGATGCTCCCTCGTGTCCAGATGTGACCCTGGAAAATACACACCACGATCGTTATGTGCTACCCCACTGTTTTTCTATCACTCGCGAATCTGCATCTTCGGGGTGGGCAGGCTTTTATAACCCAGATTGCCGAGGGCATCAGCGAATTGCGTATGGTGGGGGATCAATTTCGTTTTTCTCCATCCTTGCATCCTGTACAACACTATGCAATTGGGCAGCAATCCGGTTATCCTCATCCATTGTCGGTCGTAGCATGATTTTAAAGTCCATATCTACAGGCCCTGCTCCGAGGATCGGTGTTGCGATGCACCGGTTAGTGCTATTGAATACCGGAAAAATGTTTTCCAACAACCAACCACGGGCCAGTTCACACACCAGCTGGATTCACCATTCCAAGGACCTCACACTAAGATGCGATAAGATTTTCTAGACCGAGAGAAAGCATCCATATTAGCTCAACTTTGTACGGGACACGCCAGGCTCAACGGACATCTTCATCCAATCGGCCAAAGCGATAGCGACATGTACGCGTGTGGCATCAAACGTGAGACGTTATCGCACTTCTTGTCATCTTACAAGCGATGCAGTGAACACCGTCGCAGCCTCATTAAGCCAGCTGGTTACAACTTCGGTAGTTCGCTCATGCTGGGCGGTGAACCAGAGAGCATGAAAACCTAACGTTAAGGCCATCACGGCGGTCATCATGTTCGTGATTGAGCCCAAAAGGTTGGCGAATGAGGGGCGCTGAGATGTGATGCCCGAAATGCAAATTTGTATTTGTTTCATGTGGTGAAGTTATCCGATGTACATATTCGACAGTGCAGTGCACGCTTTCTAGGAGCTGCATGCGACCCAAGGTCGTGAAAAGCCTAAGGAATGTGATATTAATAATAATAATAATAATAATCTCTAAGGCTTTGAATAATCCATAATGCACTCGGCTTACAGTCCCAGAACGCCCCCAACTCGGGGATCGACCTACATACGACCTTCCATACACCCCCTCCTTCAAACATCCTTGGAGGGGATGTGCTTGTTCAGGATGGTCAGGATCTGGCCCCACGTCTCTCGGTACAATTCAGCGCCCCTTTCGCTGGCCTGCAGCTTGCTTGGTCTAGAACACTGGGGTCAGCAGGGTTCCATTTTCTATTTTCATCTTGTCTCAAAATTTCCAAACTTACTCGAGGACTTCATCATCATGCCATAGCTTCCCAATGCTCTCGGGGCCGAGGGTAGTCGCGCTAACAAGGGATCGACTTCCGTGTTCGGCCGTTCGCGCAACAAAGTACTGGATTGGACCCATGAAAACCTTGGCAACAAGTGAGAAGTTTCGGCCGAGATCCGTCTTACAGAATCCCGGACATGCCGCGTTGATGATAACCTGATTGTCGCTGTGTTGGTCCGCCACACCCTGCAAAACGAACATGGTGGCCAGCTTGGTCATCATGTAGTGTCTTTGGTCGGAGTATCCCTCCTCAGTGTTGAGTTGGTCAATCAAGGTCTTGTTTGAGTCGAGCCACGAGTCCTCAACGTCCTGGTAGCCCTTGCTCGTTGTGAACGTGAGATGAGACGGGGTTCCATTAGCGGCGGCCGTTTCTCGCAGCTTGGGGAGAATAAGCAAGGCCATTAACGCCGTGGAGAGCACATTGACTTGCAATGCAATCTCGTAACCTCCGGGCCCTTTTGTAAAGCTGGGCATAGCAAGACCCGCATTAAGGAGTGCGACATCAAGCTTGGGGACTTGTTCGTTCAGCTTTGCGGCGAATTCCTTCACGGCATCAAACGTCGAAAGATCTACTGGGATGACAATAATGTTCTCATTGCCGGTCTCACGGATGATGGCGGCCTTGGTGGCCTCACCTTTTTCCTGTGTGCGGACGGCAATAACGAGCGGCGATGCCCCCAAAGCAGCAAATTTGACGGCTGCTTGATATCCAATACCAGTGTTGGCGCCGGTGACCAACACCGTCTTTCCCTTGTACGAAGTTTGCGGGTCCTTAGGTGGGTTTCTAGCCTGCCGGTAGAGATGCTTCAACTGGTTCGCGCCCGGGCGAGATTGGTTCTTGGCTGTGGAGGACATCGCGAAGATGCAGAGAAGCCTTAAAAAAAGACGGGAAGTCTTTAAACACGAGAAAACCTAAAGAAAGGGCTTCAAATTCAGGGTGCGGGATGGGTCGAGTTCTTGAAGTCAGCATGCAGTATGAGGTTCTAGAATTCAGGGTCGTGGGGGAAGCATATGCTGTGGAGAGAAAGGGGTTCGGTCGGTGTGGAGTATTGTGGAGGTTGAATTTTACAAGCGCGTAGTATCCGATTGTTATATTTCCAGCGAGCCGGTTTTGCAAAATAACACTAACCCCTGGAAACCCTCCAGGGCTGTATCTACAAACACATCTTATACTCAGTCCAATGCGCATCATTGGTCCCAGTACCAGTGCGGACGGTAATTTCGAAAGTTGATAGTCAACACTGGATGTCGCTAAAATCACTGACGTGACGCAAAATTGGGGACGACAGCAGCTGGGATCCCGCCAAGGTCACCAGGCAGACACGCTCACATCTCAGGAGAGAGCGCTCTGCTTGGCCCGGTAAATGGGCACTCAGTGCAAACCCCGGTTGGGCAAAAACCTTGGAAGGCAGCCGGCTTTGTGGTACCTTGGAGACGTACGTATGCCTAACCCATCCGGAGCAAGCTAGGTAGGGCGTGTAGATCATGATACCCCACCTCGCCGGATTTCGGAATACCGCCCGAGACCTCATACCGCCCGGAGGAACCTAGGTACGGCATGTGGATCATGATACTCCACCTGTGGGCCGCCCCGCCGGAGCCATATGGTATTGCCTCCCCCCAACCTAGTCGAATAGCGCCTCCGTGTACCCCGTATGCAAGCCCACCTGGTGAGCTGTTCCCATCGGAGATAATATAAGTCGACCAATGGCACTGGCTCTGCCCTCCACGTAGTGTTAGAAATGCACGTGTTAGAAATGCACATAGATTGCGAGACAGTTACATCCAACACGGCATGGAACGAGACCACACCGAACTGCCGTTAACCGCTGGATGTCCCCAAAGTGCCAAAGACCCTCCTGGCGCTTGGTATTCTTTGCCCGACCAACCCGTGCCCGCTCTATAGGAAGCATATGTGGCCAATAAGAAGTGCAAGTGTCGGGATCGGGGATCGTCCAGCCAATCGGAGTATGAGAGGCAGACTGCTAAGCAGCAATGACTATGCCAAGCACACCAATACCACTACCCAGTGTTGATGCGCCCTAGTCTTCCACATGACCCAGTTAGGTTTTGGGTCCAGGCCTTCGACCTAAAATGGGTCATGCGGAAGCCTAGGTAGTGCGCCCAACCAAACGCAAGTTTCTTGCCACATTTTCCAGTTTACATCGAACTTCTACCCACTTTACCCTATACCACGATATCAGAAAATCAAATCTAGGAAGCAGTCAAGGCCTTCTAACAAGCCAGTAAGCAATATTATGAAATCCAGCCAGGAATTAGATGTTCCGTATGATCGGCTCAAATCCAGGATTCGCGGTCGCCAATCTGTTACCGACCACGCTAAAGCAACTAGGGCTTTAGATCTACATACTCTAAGAAAAGGGGTTTATTAGCTGGGTTCAATCCCTAGATAACACGTATACAACACCTACCCTAGAGAAGGTTGAAAGGGCAGCAAATTTGATCTGAAACCGAGCGGGTTCGGATCGAACTATTTATTACCAGCTAGTTCTTTCAATTGAAAGAGTGCATTTCATTCGGAATGCTTTCTTATAATGCAAACAATGCAAAACAGTGATCAGCGGTAGATCCCTTAAATCGTCACAACACTAAAGATTAAAAGGATATGCAAATTATAGGCAACCTCCACCTCTGAGCTTTGAAAATATTTGACATTTAATATTCATTCTATGACCTATCAATCAATTCCTCTTAATTGTGATCCTTTTAGGTATAGATCAGGTCAAAACGTGGGTTCGTATGGTAATGACCAAAACATATGTAAAATGGTAGTGAGTCAGCTGCATCAAGCTCGTGTGCGAGGTAAGCTAGCAACAATTATGTTAGTGCGGACAATAGCGAGATATCTATGGATATCTTGCAAGTATTCGCGGATTTGTGGATGCGGATTTGCTGCAGCCTATTACCACCCAAACACGCTAAAATAAAGGGCTAACCCATGTTCATTTAGAGCATAGGCTAGTTGAGGAGGAGGAAGGTAGCTTGAACTTGAGTAGATTTTTTGGCTGACTGCTTGCGAGGTTAGGAATGTCAGAACAGCCGTCTGATAGTAAAAGCTCAGGATCAAGAAGAGAGTCAAGGTAAAAGGACATGTGTGATTAAGACATTTTAGACTATTCCAGCAGGGGATATCTATTTAAGAGGGTCCTTAAGGAAGAGCAGAGAGTTATAGATATTTTCTCTGATTGCAGTCTTCACAGTCGCAAACAACGCGAATTTGATATGTTGAGCAATAATAATCAATCCTGATTGGCTATATAAGTGGGACTGCCTATCGGCTGTGTGAGAGCCGCACAGCCCGGACCCTTTTCAAACTCCAAGCTATGTGAGAAATCGACATCTTTGAACATGTATTGCTTAAGGTAATTATATATAACCTGTCTAGTATTGCTGAATATTCTGATTGCTCTAAATTTTCAATAATTTACCATATGATCTATTCCTGGTAGTATGAATTCTAGATGGCTTTTATCCAGACTAAACGCATTCGTTATAAATAGACTAGAAGTCTCTCAAGCAAAATATATATATCTTCGATATCAACCCGTATGCCATTACCAACCTTAAAAATACAGCCATATAAAGCCTGATTTATTCAAAATAATGTTACAGCATAATCAAATACACTCTCTCATCAATGTTTACAATGTGATCTCGTCTACCTAGTTTGTGATGATCCTACGTAATGGTTACGTGAAGAGAAAGTAGGCCACCATGTGGTTGACCGCATGCGGTGATGGAATTTTTTTTTTTTTTTTTTTCATACTACTGTCTCATCTATCTGCTAGTTCGATCCCCTTGGCCAATGCGCTAGAAATCAGGACATGAGCCGGAGAATACAGATCGCCGGATATTAAGGTAGCCCCGGGCATCCATCTCTGACGTGAGAGGGTGATCCTCCAGGCTCCGACTCCGATGGCCCACACCCGCCACCCCGGTCTCATCTACATCCCCAAATCGTCAATTGAAAACAACTCGGCAAATAAAAAAAGAAAATAATGGAATATTTTAGCGTAACTGTAATTTTGTTTACCGTTGGATTGCTTGCACGGTCTCTTCATTTTTTGCGAGAGCAAATTGCTAGCCATGGCGCCGCAAGCCAGTCCTCGATGGCTCTATGCCAGTCTTATTGGCATCCTCACTCCAACGGCCACCGCGTTGTACACCCGAACTCCGGGACTTGAGCAGCTAAATTTCACTCTCGAGGGGCGTTTAGAGAAGTCCCTCCCCTTGGCTGCACCATGCTTCGAGGATACGAACAGCGCTGCCTGTGCCTCGGTGAGGGAAGGCCTCAATTCTAGCTGGACTCGCACCAGCCAATACCCTGGTTTCCGCTTCATTCAAGACGAAGCTTGCGCCTCAAATGAAAGAAACCAGTGCCTTCTGGACCCTATTACCCTCGATCCACTGGGCGAGACGTGTGAGCAAGGCATCCTGTCGCCTCATTATGTCGAGATCGAGTCCCCCAGTGATGCCCAGGCCATTTTTGACTACGCCCGCCAGTCAGGCGGACGCCTGTCTATCAAGAACAGCGGTGTTGACTACAACACCCGAAGCAGTCTACAGGACTCCCTGGCCATCTGGACTCGTGGGCTGAGACACTCGTCCTTTGAAGAGTCATTCATTCCCGAAGGCTGCCCTGCCGACACCGAGCCATTCCCAGTGCTCACCTTCGGAGCCGGCATTAGCTGCGATGAGGCCTATACCATTGCTCACGGATACGGTGTGACCCATTTTTGTGGTACCGTCAATGCTATTGGCGCTTCCGGTGGCTGGCTGCTGAATGGTGGCCATGGAGTCCTGTCCGGCAGCCACGGACTAGGCGCCGACCGTGTCGTACAGTTTACCATTGTCACACCCGACGGCAAGATTCGCATCGTAAACAAGTGCTCGAACCCCGAACTCTTCTGGGCCCTCCGTGGTGCCGGAGGTGGTGCCTTCGGTGTTATCATCGACTCGACCCACCCTTCCGAGCCCGAGAAGTCTCTCACGGGGGCTAGCCTTCAGTTCCAGGGCACGACTGAGAGTCAGCGAGCCTTCACCACAATAATGACCGAGAATATGCACAGCTGGGCCCTTCAAGGCTGGGGCGGCCCGTCCAGTCCTAGCTTCTCCATGCTTGTCAATGACAAAGTCTCCGTCGACGACGCCAAGAAAGCGCTCGCTCCAGCCCTAGATTTCGTCCGCGCTCAGAACGGTAGCATCGACGTTCGCACCTACAAGAACTTCTACCAATACTACACGGAGAACATGAATGGGTCACTTGCCGCCCCCATGACCATCAGCGGCGCCATCGTCACTACCACACGAATCGTTCCCGAGGATCATTTCTTGGACGCCGAAGCTCGTGAGCGCATGGTCAATGCCATCATGGACACTCAAGCTGCCGGTCTTCCCACCTCGTTCCTCACCACCATGCCTCTCCTCTACGGTCGCAATAACCCCGAGCCCAACACCTCCCTGCATCCCGCCTGGTACAAGTCGGTGTGGATCGTTGCCAGCTCTGTGCAGTGGACGGCAGCAAGCTCTATCAAAGAGCGTAAGCAGCTCGTGTCCATGCTCAAGAACACGACGTCGACGTGGAAGAAGGTAATCCCCGACGGGTGCACCTATGCCAACGAGGCGGATCCTTGGGATGACAACTGGGCCTACGAGTTCTGGGGCGACAATTACAAAAGCCTTCTCCAGATTAAGGCCAGTGTTGACCCCGACAACCTGTTAAATTGCCGACACTGTGTTGGCTGGGAGGAGTCTCTGCCTGGCTACGAGTGCATGTCGGGACTGGATGTATAGGTTTGGACTTGGCCTGCCATTAAATGGCGGATCCCCTTTTAAGATACTCTTTAGAGCAGTTTATCCCGTATAAACTAATTATTATCGCGGATATAGTAGAAGGGAGGGAACCGAATCAAAATGAAAGCTATTTACGCTATAGATTAGCTATTACCCTCAACAATATAGGGGGTACTATACTATGAGGAATCGGTTGGGCCCCCTTTGTCTCTCTTAGAGATAAAAGATTATAAGCCTCTTCCAAACATAATTTAGGACATCTCATAACGCCGATAATTAAATCCCGTAACGATCCGGGTATCCATCTGTGTATATTGTTCGTAACCTACAGTTTCTCACGCTTGATATCAAAGCGCTTGTCAAGCCACTGGAATACCTTCTGGTTGCACAGAGCGATAGCACCCATCTTGGCTTGAAGACCACCTTCGCCCGGCTTGGTGGCCACCCAGAGCTCCTTGTCCGACTCTTTCTGGTTCGTCAGTGCGTTGAAGACCATGGAGGTATGGTCGTCCACTTCGAGCCACAGAGACTTTCCAGCGCCCGTGACGAAGACTGGGCACGTCACCTTGTCGAGGTAGGTGCCCTTCCCCTGGCGCAAAGTGTACAGCTTCATCGACCTGAGAATCTGGGTCGGGGTGGATACTCCGAAGAATCGCGCGGACATGGCAATGTTCCAGCGCATCTGGAAATCGAACTTGTTTCCGAACCAGATCATGTTGTCCACAAAGCTATCAGGAATCCAGCCCTTGAGCCATGTGTTGAGGAAGGTCGCCGATACCTGCTTGGTCGCAAAGTCCCAGAAGTCGAAGAGAGGATCGACGGCGACGCAGGCCTTGTATCGTGGGTCCACTGCGGCGCGCAGAGCGAAGTAGCCACTAAGCGAGGTCCCGGCAATGGCGACGCGGTCGAAGTCAAGCTCGAGATTCTTCTGCTCTGCATATTTCTGGACGTAATCCAACACGATCTTGTCGACAACCTCGTAGTCAGGTCGCATCGGGATATTGTGCTCATGGAGAGTAAGACCCTGGCCGGGACCTTCGAAGGTTAAAACGGCGTATCCCAATTCAGGACCCTCAGCGGGGTACATGTGGTAGACCTCCTCTTGCATTCCATCGGCACCAACCGGGTTAACCACGAGGGGAATCTTGCCTGCAATCCGGCATGAGGCTTGGGGAAGGTAGAGATATGCGGGGAACTTGACTCCCTTCTCGTAGGGAATCTCCAAGATGTGGATGGGATTGTTCGCGAGCGGAATGGCTTTGCGGAAAAGCTCGACAGTCTTGCGCAGGATGGGAACGACACGAGGGTCTGATTTTGTGGGGACGGCCGAGCACATCATGTAGGCGCTGGCACGTTGATAGTTGGCGGCTCGGAGGTAGGCCATGCGCGCGGAATTGCGATGGCCATTGCTTAGAGCTTCGTCTGCAAGCTGCTCGACCTTTTCGGCTTGCATAGACCACGCCTTGTGCCAGGTCACCGGGTCATTTTCCTTGATTTGGCCCACAGCGTCGAGAACCTCTGCGACGTCGGCGCCTCCAGTGCGGGTTGTACCAAGGATGCGAATAACTTCAAAATTGAAGAACTCGCCCTTGTAGAATTGATGCATGGCGAGAATTTGGGATTCTGGTTCTTCTATCTCGGAAAGATTGACAAGTACTCTGTGAATAGTTCCTGGGTCGGAGAATTGAGGTCGCGACAGAAGAGCAAGGAAGGTCGACACAAAGTTTCAGGATGCGAGATCGGGGGGGTATGAAGGGTCCAATAAGGTCAGGCCTACCGAATGACTTCTATAGGCACAAGAAAACCCCTCTTTGCTTATTCCCCTGTTACATTGTAGATAGTGTTTCCTGCACCCGAGCGGTGAATTGACATGACAGTGCAGTCAGCCCCGAAACGGACGTCCGGCCTGTGGGTACGGAGTAGCGCGACCCCGATTAGTCAGTGCGCTATTCCGAACGTGTGGGACTAATCGGAGTAGCCCTATGTTGTATACGACTTTCCCAAATGGACTCATGCTAGGTCCGAAGATGAGAGGGTTGAATTGTCATTGTTTTAGCGTGGGATCGTTACGGCATACGGAGCCGAATCAACATACCAAGAGATCGGCCTCAGCTAGGAAATTGCCACTTCACCAATATACAGTTAGCTTAATTAGCTAGTTATCTCGTTGTCTTGTAAGCCATATGCCTTTGCTATATTACCTTATCATACCCTTGCCTAGGTAGATATACATCATAAACCGGTCTTAGGCTATATCCTCTCCCTTCTTTTCTTTTCACAGCACAGCCATGGCTCGCCAGCTGGAATATGCCAACGAGCCGATTGCCGTTGTCGGCAGTGCTTGTCGATTCCCCGGAGATGCCTCATCTCCATCCAAGTTGTGGGAACTTCTCCGCCAACCTCACGATGTCATCAGCGATATTCCGCCAAGCCGGTTTAACACTGATGGCTTCTACCACGAGGATGCCCTCCACCATGGTGCTACCAATGTTCGCCAATCCTACATACTCAAAGAAGACCATCGTCATTTCGATGCTCAGTTTTTCGGTGTTAAGCCTGTCGAGGCTAACTCCATCGATCCTCAACAACGACTTCTCATGGAGACCGCTTATGAAGCTCTGGAAGCTGCGGGTATCCCCATGGAGAAAATCCAGGGCTCTAACACTGGCGTGTACGTAGGCCTGATGACGGGTGACTATGCCGACCTTCTCGGTCGTGACATTGACAATTTCCCTACGTACTTTGCCTCCGGCACCGCACGAAGTATCATTTCCAACAGAATATCCTACTTCTTTGACCTCCATGGCCCATCTATGACCATCGACACAGCGTGTTCCTCCAGTCTTTATGCTATCCACCAGGCGGTTCAGAGCCTTCGAAGTGGCGAGTCCGGCAGTGCTATCGTCGCCGGATCTAACCTCCTTTTGGGCCCCGAACAATACGTTGCCGAGAGCAAGCTGAAAATGCTTAGCCCCAATAGCCGAAGCCGAATGTGGGACAAAGATGCCGATGGATATGCCCGTGGTGATGGTGTTGGTGTCCTGGTGCTCAAGACTCTTAGCCAGGCACTAGCGGACCACGACAACATCGAATGCATTGTCCGAGAGACAGGCGTCAACCAAGATGGACGCACAAAGGGCATCACTATGCCTAACCCAGTAGCTCAGCAAGAGCTCATCAACGCTACTTACCAAAAGGCCGGGCTAGATCTGTCTAAGCCGGCAGATCGCCCTCAGTATTTTGAGGCTCACGGAACTGGTACCCCTGCTGGTGACCCAATGGAGGCCGAGGCCATCAGCACCGCCTTCTTTGGACCAAACATTGGGTTTAAGAGGGCCGCAACCGACGCCCCTCTGTATGTCGGTTCAATCAAGACTGTTGTCGGCCACACTGAAGGCACTGCCGGTATTGCCGGTGTCATGAAGGCCTCGCTAGCCCTCCAGAACAGCACCATTCCTCCAAATCTGCTCTTCAATGAACTCAGCCCCCGGGTCAAGCCTTTCTACACTGATCTGCGTATTGCCCAAGAGGCACAGCAGTGGCCTGAGGTCCAGACTGGTGACCTGCGCCGTGCCAGTGTCAACAGTTTCGGCTTCGGAGGTGCCAACGCCCACGCCATCCTCGAGAACTTTGTCCCAGATCCTGCGCAAGCTCTTCTGAAGAATGTTGAAGAGTCCACCGGTCCCTTCATGGCACCTTTTAACTTCTCCGCTGGTACAGAGAAGTCTCTCGCCAATCTTCTCTCCACATACTCCTCGTTCATCAAGGAGAACCCGACAATTAGCCTTCGAGACATCTCCTGGACTCTCAACACTCGACGATCTACCCTGCCGTTTAGGGTATCTATCTCTGCTCTAACGGTCGAAGACCTGGCCAAGAAGCTCGAAGATGTCAGCCAGAACACCATGGACTTTATGACCGTTTCTAGCTCTCAAGCCACTTCGGAGGGCAAGCCCCGCCTGCTTGGTGTTTTCACTGGACAGGGTGCCCAGTGGGCCACTATGGGTGCTGACTTGCTCCGAAGCTCGCCTCTGTTCTCGGAGTGCATTGATCAGCTGCAGAGCGCTCTTAACACTCTTCCCGCCGAGCACGTCCCTGAGTGGACCATCCGGGAAGAGTTGCTCAAGGATAAGGATTCTTCTCGTATTGGCCAGGCGGCGCTCTCACAGCCTCTGTGCACCGCTGTGCAAGTTGCCCTTGTTACCCTTCTTCGGGCCGCTAAGATCGACCTTGCTGCAGTTGTTGGTCACTCTTCTGGTGAAATCGCTGCGGCACATGCTGCTGGGTATCTCTCCGCTGAGGATTCTATTCGAATTGCATACTACCGTGGCTTCTTCCTGAAACTCGCTGGTAGCGAAGATGGTGCTCAGGGTGGTATGATGGCCATCGGTACGTCTCACGAGGATGCAGAAGAGCTTTGCGAGCTTCCCTCTCTTGAGGGCCGCATCTGCATTGCTGCCAGGAACTCGCCCAACAGCTTGACCCTGTCTGGTGACCTAGATGCCATTGAGGAGGTCAAGGATATTCTTGAAGATGAGCAGAAGTTTGCTCGTCTCCTAAAGGTCGACAAGGCTTACCATTCGCACCACATGAAGCCATGCTTTGAGCCTTACGTCGCGGCCCTCAAGACATGCGACATCAAGATCCTGACTCGCTCTGACGACGCAAACCTCCCTGTCTGGATTTCCAGCGTTGTCGGTGAGAACATTGAGAGCATTGACCTCAGCGAGCTCCAGGGCAAGTACTGGGGTGACAACATGTGCCAAGCTGTTCTGTTCTCCCAGGCTGTGGAGTACGCCATCGGTGCCGAGGGTCCCTTTGACATGGGAATTGAGGTTGGCCCTCACCCTGCTCTTAAGGGCCCTGCCACATCCACTATCAAGGAAATCTCCGGCCAGGATATCCCCTACATCGGAACCTTGGCACGTGGTGTGAACGCAATCGAGGCTATTGCTGACTCTTTCGGTTCTCTCTGGAAGTCACTCGGTCCTGCAGTCGTGAATTTCACAGCCTACGATGAAGCTGTTTACGGCAGCAAGGTGGGACCTCAGCTGTTGAAGGGCCTGCCAACGTACCCTTGGGACCACGATCGTATCTACTGGCACGAGTCGCGGTACTCCAAGGCATTCCGTGGCCGCAGCCAGGCTCCTCATGAGCTTCTCGGCACCATGTGCCCCGATGGCATTAACAACGAGGTTCGATTCAAGAACTACCTAACTCCCCGTGAGATTCCTTGGCTCGTCCACCACCAGATTCAGGGTCAGATTGTCTTCCCTGCTGCTGGCTACATCTCGGCAGTTGTCGAAGCGGCAGTCAAGCTTTATCCTGCCGAGTCGATCCAGATGCTCGACTTTATCGACTTCATCATTGGACAGGCTATTACTCTGGAGGAGAACGGCGGTGTTGATACCATCCTGTCTCTCAAGGTTGTCGAAGAAAGCCCAGGCGTTGACCAGCTGGTTTTCGCTTACTATTCCGACAGCGGAAAGGATTCTGGCGCCATGGTCAAGAATGCCTCAGGTAAGCTTCGTGTCGTCCGAGGCGCTGCCTCCAAGGAAACACTCCCCTCTCCCTATGTTCGTGAGGGTATGTACCTGGATCTTGAGTGGGAGCGATTCTACATGGCCACCAGCGAGCTGGGCTTCGGCTACACCGGCCCCTTCCAGGCTCTCTCCAACACTAGCCGAAGGCTTGGCGAGGCTCTCGGTACCCTGGGTGTTCCTGAGGCCGAGGGCAAGAATGCGCCTTCGCTGATCATCCACCCTGGCACCCTGGATTGTGCCATCCAGTCTATCATGCTGGCTTTCAGCTACCCTGGCGATGGCCGTCTGCGTACTATCTATTTGCCAACGAAGGTTGATCGCCTTCGTATCAACCTTGCCTACTGCCGGGAGTCCACCCTCCAGTATGGTGCTCAGCTGCCGTTCTACTCATCCATGGCCGACAATGGCGGTGCAGATCTGTCTGGTGATGTTGAGGTTTACTCGGTTGATTCTAGCCACACAATTATTCAGTTGCAAGGCCTCCATGCCACACCTTTGGACAAGTCAAATTCTGAGAATGATGCCAACATCTTCTCTGAGTTGACTTGGGGACCCGAGATCCCCACCGGAACTAACGTTACCTGGGAAGGTGATGAGTACGCTGACGACCTTGACCTTTCGTTCCTTATGGAGAAGGTTGCGTACTTTTACCTTCGCCAGATTGATGCCGAGTTCCCCAAGGGTAAGCGAGAAGGATTTGAGTGGCACCATGACCGCCTCTTCGACTATGTCGACCACTGCTTGGAGTACGTTGCCAGTGGCACGCACCCATATGCAAAGAAGGAGTGGATTAATGATAAGAGGGAGGAGATTCTTAAGATCATTGACAGGTTGGTTTCCTAAATACTTACTAAATTCTCCATAGTTGATGCTAACCTAAATCAAAGTCACCCTGACAGCATTGACTTGCGTATCATGAAGGCTGTTGGTGAAAACATGCCCACTGCTATCAGGGGCGACATGAATATTCTGGAGGCAATGATGCATGGCAACATGCTCAACGACTTCTACGCCTACGCTCTGGGTATGAACACATATCTTGAGGATATGGCCCGCATTGTTGGCCAGTTCAGCCACCGCTTCCCCCACATGAACATTCTTGAAATTGGTAATTTGAAACTCCTCTAGCCGTGAGTAGCCGCTCAGCTAATTTAAATAGGTTCTGGAACTGGTGGTGCCACTGACATGGTCCTCAAGCGTCTCAACGGCGCTTTCTCCTCGTATACGTACACTGATATTTCTAGTGGCTTCTTCGAGAAAGCCGAGGAGAAGTTTGCTGAGCACCGCTCTCGCATGATCTTCAAGGTTTGTGATATCGAGAACAGTCCTGCTGAGCAAGGCTATTTCGAAGGCTCATACGATCTTGTTATCGCCTCTCTGGTCCTCCACGCCACCCGAAACATTGAGGAAACCATGCACAATGCCCGCAAGCTCTTGAAGCCCGGTGGCCACCTTATCATGGTTGAGCTTACTGACAATGACCCCATGCGCTTCGGTTTCATTTTTGGTGGCCTGCCTGGTTGGTGGCTTGGCCACAACGATGGCCGCAAGCTATCTCCTTGCGTTGAAGCCAATGTCTGGGAGGACATGATGTTGAAGACTGGCTTCTCTGGTATTACGTCCCATACCCCCCACAACAGCAACTTCCCTCTGCCTCTGGCCGTGATTGCTTGCCAGGCTGTCGATGATAAAGTTTCTTTCCTTCGCGAGCCACTTCTCGCCGAAAATGAACCGCTCGATGTGAACAGCCTGACTATCATCGGAGGAAAGGGCGACATATCCGGTGACGAGTTGGACGAGATCGTTTCGCGTCACTACAAGGAGATCCACCGTATCAACAGTTTGAATGAGGCCGCTGACGCTGAATTGCCCTTCTCTGGTACTGTTGTCTGCTTGGCTGATCTCTTCGACGAGTCTACTTTCGAGGACATCTCTTTGACAAAGCTGAAGGCTCTCCAAAACATCTTTAACCAGAGCAAGAATATTCTTTGGGTTACGTGCGGAGCACAAGCCGACAGCCCTTACAAGAACATGTTCATTGGCTTGCAGCGAAGTGTCATCCTAGAGCTGACTCACGTCCGCTGTCAGGTCTTGGACTTTGCTACGCCTTCTGAGATCAACTTTGAGATTATTGCCAAGAAGCTGCTCCAGCTTGATGCTTACAGTGTCTGGGATGACAAGAGCCAGCTCAAGGAAATTCTCTGGTACAATGAACCAGAGATCCTCATTGAAAACCAGCAGGTTATGATTCCTCGCTTCCGTCTCAGCCCAGCGAGGAACAACCGATACAATTCTTCGCGCAGACTCCTAACCCGTGATGTGAACATCAAGGACACCACCTTGTCCATCACGCCTCAGGACTCCAAATTCGTTGTGAGGGAGAAGCAGGGAGCCAATAAGTCCCGCATTGGAGGAATTAAGCTTAGTCACTCGCTTCTTAAGGCCATCAGAGTCACTGGAAAGAGCAAGGCTTTCATCTCGCTCGGCGAGGACTCTCAGAATGGCTCTCGTGTCATTGTGTTGTCCAGCTCTCTGGATTCACACGTCTACGCACCCACTGGATGGACCATTGCTATGCCTCAGTCTGACGAGCAGGCGCTCAAGGCTTTGATGTCGCTGTATATGCAGCTCCTAGCCCACAGCATCCTTGAGAACGCCGTCCAGGGCAAGCTCATTGCCGTGTTCAACCCTGGATACGCTCTGGGTGGAGCCCTTGCCAATCTTGCCGCTCAGCGTGGTATCCAGCTGGTTCTCCTTACCACTGCGGCCAAGAACTGCACCAGGCCTTGGGCATACGTGCATCCCCGTGCGACGACATCGTCCCTTCACAAGCTTCTGCCAAGAAACCTGTCTATGTACGTTGACATGGACACTCAGAGTGAGACGTCACAACTTGTGCAGGGCTGCCTGCCTCCAGACTGCCCCAAGCTTGATCACAATGGTCTGGTCAGCGATTACGCTCGGCTTGACCTCAGCCCACTTGGCGTCCGACAGGTGTCTGACCATGTCCAGATGGCTTGGCTGAACTGCGTAGATAGTCTCTCCACCCCCGACATTGGCTCTATCCCGACCATCTCTCTCGACGAGATCACTGAGAACAGCTCTGCGTCTTTCCAGGAGCAGGCCATCGTCTCTTGGGAGGGTCAGCCTACTGTCCGCATTCAGATGCAGCCCGCCAACAAAGAAGTTAGCTTTGCTTCGGACAAGACCTTCTGGCTTGTTGGCTTGACTGGTGGTCTGGGTCTGTCTCTTTGCCAGTGGATGGTTGAGCGGGGTGCGAGATACATTGCCCTGTCCAGCCGTAACCCCAAGATCCAGGATGCCTGGCTCCAGATGATGTCCGCCCATGGCTGCACTGTCCGCGTCTTCGCCAACGATGTCACAAACCGACAGTCTGTCCGCGGGGTCTATAAACAGATCAATGACACCATGCCTACCATTGGCGGTGTTGCTCAGGGTGCTATGGTTCTCCACGATACCCTATTCCCTGATCTAGATATGGAGCGCCTTGAGAATGTCGTGAAGCCTAAGGTTCTCGGAAGTATCTACCTTAACGAGCTGTTTAGTGAAGCAAACCTAGACTTCTTTATCTACTTCTCGTCCATGGCCTACGTCACTGGTAACCCGGGACAGAGCGCCTACTCTGCTGCCAATGCCTTCATGGCCAGCCAAGCTGCTCAGCGACGCAAGCGTGGCCTTGCTGGCTCTGTCATCAACATCGGTGCCATCATGGGTAACGGCTACGTTTCCCGAGAGCTGACCCTTGGACAGCAGTCCTTCCTCCACAAGGTTGGTCACTCTTGGATGTCTGAACAGGACTTCCAAGAGATCTTTGCTGAGGGTGTTCTTGCTGGCCGCCCTGGCTTCTCTGATACTTATGAAATGGCCACTGGCCTCCGACTCGATGATGACGCAGAGCGTGACTGGGCATCGAACCCAATGTTCCAGCATTTAGTCCGCAAGGCTAGTCACCTAGTCACTGGCCAGAGCAAGAACAAGGCTGGTGCCGCGATCAAGCCTCAGCTCTTGGAGGCTACTAGCGAGGAGGAGGTGTTTGAGATTCTGAAAGGCAAGTTTTCCTCAACAGAACAATATGCCAATTTATTTACTGACTTTTCAATAGTTGGGTTCCTCTTGAAGCTCCAGATTGCACTGCAGGCCGACCCCGACATGCCTATGCTTGAAGTGAGCCCTGACGAGCTCGGTGTAGACTCGCTTGTTGCTGTCGACATTCAGTCTTGGTTCCGCAAGGAGGTTGGTGTCGATATGCCTGTCCTCAAGGTTCTCAACGCACTTTCTGTCCGTGATCTCTTGTATGCTGCACAGGAGATGCTGTCACCTGAGATGGTCCCCAACTTGGGTGGCGAGCCGAAGCCCAAGAGTGTTGATCCTATTAAGGAAGCACCTCCCGCCCCCATCCCGACAGCAACGCCTCAGAAGCGGACGCCTAGCCTAACGGACATTTCGTCTACCACTGTGCCCACCATCGACCATTCTTTCTCGAGTGAGAGACAGTTGACTCCTACTTCAGATCTGGAGCCGCAGACGCCCCCAACCAATGCTAGTACTCCTCCTCCCATATCCCCAGATATGGAGGAGAAGCTGCTTGGGTCGTATATTGAGGAAGGATTTGAGCGAGTTGTTCCTATGTCATTTGCTCAGTCTCGATTTTGGTTCTTGAACTTCTTTGTTGAGAACAAGACTGCTTTCAATGTCACATCAGTTGTCCACCTCAGGGGTAAGCTTGACATTGAGAAATTCGGCAAGGCTCTCACCGAGGTGGGACAGCGCCACGAGGCCATTCGGACTGTCTTCTATACGGATGAGAACACCAAACAGCACATGCAGGGTGTCTTGCCCAAGTCCACCTTGACGCTCCAGCATGCCAATGTTAACGATGAGGGTTATATTCAAAAGGCTGTCCGTGAAATGCAAGACCACGTCTTTGATCTTGCCAAGGGTGATTCTCTCCGCCTGCAACTTATCTCGCTCTCTGAGGAACGACACTGCATTATCCTCGCCTACCACCACATCGCTGTGGACGGCATCGGCTTCCCCATCTTCTTCGCTGACCTCGAGAAGGCTTACAACGGAACTCTCGATCTGAGTGGCGCGGGTATGCTGCAGTACCCCGATTTCTCTCTCCGTCAGCTTCATGAGTACGAACAGGGATCATGGTCCAAGGAGCTCAGCTACTGGCGCAGCCAGTTCCCTGACCTTCCCGCTCCTCTACCCTTGCTTCCACTGTCTCAGCGTTCATGGAGACCCAACTCCTCCAGCTTTGGTTCGCACTTGGTTGACTTCCGCATGGACCAGGCGCTGAAGACCCAGATTGAACAGTGCTGCCGCCGCTTCAAGGTGACCCCATTCCACTTCTACCTGGCTGTCTTCCGCATTCTCCTCTTCCGCTTCACCAACGGCATTGACGATATGTGCATTGGTGTTGCCGACGGCAACCGAAAGGATGCCGACGTGCTGCAGAGTCTTGGTCTCTTCTTGAACCTACTCCCACTGCGCTTCCGTCAGGACCCCAAGCAAACCTTCGCGGATGCACTGAAGGATGTCAAGAGCACTAGCGATGGCGCCTTTGCCAACTCTCGTGTTCCTTTCGATCTTCTCCTGAACGAGCTTCAAGTGCCCCGGTCTCCTTCTTACAGCCCGCTCTTCCAGTCGTTCCTTAACTACCGTCAAAACATCGTCGAGGCACGCAGCTTCTGCGGCTGCTCTTCTGATGGTGAGCTGATTGCTGGTGGCCAGAACGCCTACGATATCAGCGTGGATGTTGTTGATGTCAGCAGCGGTGATAACCTTGTGGTCTTTGCTGTGAATAAGGATCTCTACTCTAAGGACGATGCCGATGTGCTTAAGAAGAGCTACCTCAGCCTTCTCCAGGGATTTGCGCGAAACCCTGCTGCTCGCATTGTCTGGCCCGCTCTCCATCTCGAAGAGGATGTGAAGAGTGCTGTAGAGTTGGGTCGTGGTAAGTATCATCCCTCTTGACTCATAACATAGCTGAGTACTAATCGGATTGCGCTTTCAGGTGACGAGCAAACTACCCAATGGCCATCTACTATTGTCGACCGCATTGACGACATGTCCAAGATGTACAGTGAGAGAGCCGCTCTGACTGACGGCGTCGGAAAGAGCCTCACTTACAAGCAGATGGCAAGCCGCGTGAGCGAGCTTGCAGCTCTACTCCTGGACCGTGGAGTGGGCAGCGGTTCTTGTGTGGGTGTCTTCCAGAGCTCTGGACCGGAATGGGTTTGCTCTGTGCTCGCTATTCTACGAACTGGAGCTGCCTACGTCCCTCTTGACTCCCGTGTGGGCCTGGACCGCCTTCTCCTTGTGGTAGAGGACTGCAAACCCCAGGTCCTTTTCGTTGACAGCATCACCGAGGGCGAGACTAAGTTCTTGAGTGACACTGGAGCGGATATCATCAATATTTCCACTGTTCCTGTATCTGAGGAAGACAAGTTTGTTCCTAGCCAGGCCAATCCCTCTGACACTGCCGTGATTGCCTACACCAGTGGAACTACTGGTGTACCAAAGGGCGTGGTCCTGAAGCACTCCGGATATAAGAACTTCCTGGAGTTTGCCGTTCCCCGATGGGGAATCAAAGAGGGTGAAGAGATTGTGCTGCAGCAGTCTTCATATGCATTTGACATGTCCATGGGTCAGATCATCGTCGGCCTTGGATTTGGTGGCACTCTTGTTATTCCTGACACAGCTCTTCGCCGTGATCCTGCCGCTGTTTGCGACATCCTCGTCTCTCAGGGTGTTACCTTCACCCTGGGCACTCCTACTGAGTATATGGCCTGGATCCAGCATGGTGGCCAGGAGTTGCTGCAAACCTCCCAATGGCGCGGTGCCATGAGCGGTGGTGAGGCTATGACTGAGTCTCTCGTCCGTGCATTCCGCTCCCTGCAGAAGCCGGATCTGAAGCTCATTAACAGCTACGGTCCTGCCGAAACCACCTGTGCATGTGCGGACAGCGAGGTCTCCATCGCAGATGCCGACGACCTTTCCTTTGCTGTTGTTCCAAGCCCCAACTACAGCATCTATATTGTTGACGAGAATATGAACCCTGTGCCTGCCGGCGTGCCCGGTGAAGTTGTCATTGGCGGTGCTGGTGTTGCCGGAGGTTACCTCAACCAGGAGAAGGCCACCTCCGCTGCCTTCCTCCCCGGCAAGCAGGCTACCCCCTTCTTCAAGGAGCAAGGGTGGAACACCGTCCACGCTTCCGGTGATCGCGGCCAATTCACTGCTGATGGACGCCTAGTCCTACAGGGTAGAATTGAGGGAAGCACTCAGATCAAGATTGGAGGTATTCGCATGGACCTTGAGGATATTGAGAACACCATCGTCAATGCTGCTGCTCCTCACATTAACCAAGCTGTGGTCTCAGTTAGGCAGATCCAGAACTCGGATAACAAGTATCTGGTTGCCTTTATTGAGCTTTCCGACAACCAAACTGATCAGAGTGCATTCCTGGCAGAGCTTCCTCAGAAGCTCCCTCTGCCCCAGTACATGCGCCCTTCGACCATCGTTGCTCTAGATGCCATCCCCAAGACGAGCTCTAACAAGGTTGACCGATCGGCGATCAACTCTATGGAACTCCCTGAGAGCACTCAACCCCGTACCGAAGATGACACCGCTGATCTCAACGAGTTTGAAGATACTCTCCGTGGTCTCTGGGAGCAGGTTCTTCCTCAGGAAGTCCTCCGCAGCCATATCTTGAACAAGGCCTCCGACTTCTTCCATGTTGGTGGTAATTCTCTATCTCTGGTATCCCTACAGACTCAGATCCGCGAGCGTCTCGACATTACTGTCCCGCTCTCTCAGCTCTTCCAGGCTATCACCCTGGGTGAGATGGCGGTGATGCTCCAGGACCAGGGCTCAGGCAAGCAGACTATTTATGTCGACTGGGAGAAGGAGGTCGAGGTTCCATCTGACCTCATCGATGCACCCAAGTCTCCCAATCCGGTCGAGCCATCCACTACCCCAAGCATTGTCGTTCTTACTGGATCTACTGGTTTCCTGGGCAAGGAGATTCTCCGCCAACTGACCAACAACAAGAACATTACAAAGATCTACTGCTTGGCCGTCCGCAAACCCAGAGAGCAGCTTTCCAAGATCTTCGACCACCACAAGGTCATCGTCTACGGAGGTGATCTCGGTGCTAAGCAGCTTGGCCTTTCTAAGACGGAAGCAAAGGCAGTGTTCGACGAGGCCGATGCCGTGATCCATGTCGGCGCTGATGTGTCTTTCATGAAGACCTACCAGAGTCTCAAGCTCATCAATGTTGCTTCTACCAAGGAGCTTGTCCGCCTCAGCGTTCCCCGCCGTGTTCCCTTCCACTTTGTCTCTTCTGCCAGTGTCGCCCGCCTATCGGGTCTCGATGCCTTTGGTCCGGTCTCTGTTGAGGAGTACCCTCCCAACGGCGAGAACGATGATGGCTACACTTCAGCCAAGTGGGTTAGCGAAGTCTATCTGGAGCGCATCAACAAGCAGCTTGGTCTGCCTGTCGCCATACACCGCCCTAGCAGCATCACTGGTGACGACACCCCAGAGTCGGACTTGATGAGCAACATGATGAAGTACTCGCGCGAGATCAAGGCCATCCCTGACTCGAGCGCCTGGTCTGGCCACTTTGACTTCATATCTGTGCAGTCGGTGGCCAGGACGATCATTTCCGACGCAATTGCCGGCGCGGAGAACATGACGGATAGCCCTCGCTATCTGTATGAGTCTGGAGAGATTGAAATTGGCATGGAGGAGGTGCAAGATCTCATGGAGATGGGCACTGGGGAATCCTTTGGGGTCCTGTCAGTGGACGAGTGGATTGATTCTGCTGCAAAGGCTGGGATGAACCCTCTGTTGGCCATGTACCTGCGGCGGGCCGCAGGTGGCCAGGTCCTGTTCCCCAAACTGCTCCAGCAGTGATAAAAGAAAAAAAGCACACCATTTATATGGTAGTTGGGTATCAGCTTTTTAGCGTTTTGGCGTTTTGAGGTGGCATTTGATGATAAGTAGATTATATAGCGTCTTTTTTTCGGTTACATTGTCTATTCTGTTCGTACGCATAGATTAAGACGTTCCATTAAAGTTTATCATAAGTTCAAATTATTGTTGCTCTGAGCCCGGTTTTCAACCATATATTGCAACATAGTATTCGACATATATGTACCAAATCTTAGGTTCTCATATCATTCCTATTTGAGAAGCTAGGGGATAAATTACCACTACCAATTTTTACATGTGACTTGACTAACTAAACAGTTATCTAACTAGTCACTATAAATCTTACCAATTAGGCATCATTCATCTTAGCAGATCTAGGCCTCGCCCCCTCCATGACCCCTCTGTGAGTGGCTAGCCCTCCACCCTCCATTTCGAGAGCTGAGGGGTTATAGGGGTGGAAGAGAAGTGTATAAATACAGGGTTCTATTCTCAGTACGAAGAGATTAGACAGCTTTAAATATATTCCTTATTTGTAAGAATTCATTTCATCTCATACATATAGTATAGTTTCATCTATACTATTTCAACGTCGACCTGTCAAAACAAGAACCATATAAGCCCCGCCAACTCCATTCCGATACAATCGCCCTATCCAATACCTCTCTTCAGCCATGACGGTCATACAAATTTCCGACGCTGTCTTCGAGGCAATGAAGGATCAAGTAGTGTTTATTACTGGTACGCATATTCCCCATCCCACCATAAATACCGCATCGGCAATATTAATAAACACAGGCGGCTCCTCAGGAATCGGAAAAGCAACGGCGGAGTTATGTCTCAAGCACGGCGCGAATGTAATCATCGGCGACATGAACCCACTACCGTCTGACCTCGAGATCTCGGAAAAGCTCAAGTTCATAAAACTAGACGTCTCCTCATGGGAAAGCCAACGGGATGCATTTATCCAAATTGAAGAACGGTTCGGTCGTCTGGATCACGTCTTCGCTAATGCCGGCGTGGGACCAACGATCGATTTCCTAGACGAAACCCTGGACAAAAATGACCACCTTACCCCTCCCGATCTGCGGACGATCAATGTCAATCTTCTGGGTGTTCTGTACACAGTTCGTCTAGCTACATATTACATCCAGAAGAACTCGGCACATCGTCTATCTGGTGAACTGGGCAGTATCGTGGTCACTGCTTCTGGGGCTTCGTTCCAGAACTTCAGTGCTGGTGATTACACGATCGCGAAACACGGGGTCCTAGGACTCATCCGCGGAATAGGACATCAACTTGAGGGGAAGGTTCGACTCAATGCGGTTGCGCCTTCCTGGACAGCGACTGCCATGATTCCTGTCGCCTTTATTGAGGAGCTTGGTGTTACTGTTCAAGGACCGGAGGTTGTAGCCCGGAATGCGGCACTACTTTTTTGCGATCAGCAGCGTCATCGGGATGTTATATATAGCTGGGACGGGAATTATCTGGAGGTCAATAATGCGGAAGGGGGATTTCTGGCAGCTGCGAGTGGAATCCTTGGGAATTCAGCTAATGAGGAATGGGTTATGAGGAAGATGGTAGAAGAAAATGCACTCGGCTAGATCTAGTTCTTGTTAGCTGCGCTTGATAGCATATCAAATGTCCACTTCGGGTTCTTTGCTGCGCTACTGCATTGTACATGACGTCATCTCACTCCTTAGTTGGGCGTCTTCCACTTGTAGTCTCTTCTCTCTTCTTTCTAACCCCGCTCTTCCCTCCAGTTTGGGTCTGGTACATGGTTGATATCAGTCGACACATAAGATCATCTCGGCAGTCATGAATATCACTCGTGGAGCTGACCTCCACAGAATTTTAAACTTCTTGGGTATTCGTTAGGCATGGTCATCCATATCCCAGGAATGACGGAGGAAACTTACGGAGATTCAACTTGGATATCATGATGGTGATTGTAAATACGATCTAGGCAGTCAGTCCAAATGGTCGGGATATTCCAAAGTTGTCTATGTAAGAACCTGTTTCGGTCAATAAGTAGGCTCAGCTGAGAAACTGAGATAATGCGATGGCCAAAGGATTGTACAATGTAGTCGCGAAAGCATCGCGGAAACATTGACACTATGTTTCGGGACGTACAGCATATGGTGAGAGGGAGAGAGCCGAGTACTGTAGTTAACCGTCTTCCAGTTGGAACTAGAAGAGACACTATCCAGTGCTGCCCCTGGATATGCAAGCTTCCATGGAATAACTGAACTTCCGTGGACAACTGCGTTTGATCCAGGTTCTTCTTATTTGGCTGGGTTTTACATCAGTCATGTGAATGAAGAATCTTACCTAAGATGATCTCGCGTTTGCCCAGTTTCCTAGTACTCCCTTCGCCATATAAATACCATCTCTCTATGTTTTCATTTCTTCGACTCTCACACTATCATTCCCTTCCTACTCTGATGTGATCCACACCCTGTTCCTGCTGAAGTCCGAGGATATGATACCAACCATTTGGCTCTATGACTCTCCCTTGCCATCGACTTGGTGAGGTATCACTAAACCCACCTCGGTTAATGAACGGATGATAACTCATAGACCTACAGCACAACACACGATTATGAAAGACAGTCATCGACACCCTTACCTTGAACAACACTTCACTATACCATACCCTCATGCTATGTCTATCTACAACCCTATCCCAAAGGACATTGCCACTGCGCATACAACTTAAATGAAAAAAGACGGGGGGAGATGATCCTCAGCTTGTGCCATACATCAAGCAAACAGCAAGGACAAGCATGACTATGCAAACATGACTGGTTGAAGTTTTACAAAGTCTACTTCTGAGATCTACCAGGCAAACCACCAGACCCAGGATTAGACTCTCCACAACTCTAACATGTCAAGCGTGCATGGCTATTCTGCTTCGCTTCCTTGTTGGCAATTCGCTTGATGTATTGAGCAAGCTGGGCACCATTTTTCCCCTTTGGTTTTCTGTCGAGTCGTATTCGCAGTGCCAGTGTCCTTTATGCCCGGGGTATATATATAATCATAACATAGGGAAAGAAACAACGCCGTCGGAATTGTGGCTGCGGCGACAACCATTTGCCAGGCGCAAGTGAATTCCGGTAAGTACGTCCTGTTTCGATCATGGCCGTATAGGTGCTGACATCCTTTGTACAGGCAATGGTTTGGATACGAACGGTTTTCCTATGTCAGCTCGTCTTTCTTTGGGTGTCACGGACCACGCAGAGCGATAGCAGGAGGCACTTCTTTCATTTTTTCGGCCTTCCATTCCACAATCGAGTCTTCGTGTGAACTCCGACAAGGTGGGGGACTTGACCTGCCCGGTTATCGAAGCTGTTATACTCCAGAGATTGATTTCTAAGCCGAGATCGTCTGAATCTGTTGCTCTTTGAGCTTTTTCAGAGCTTTGACATACTTTGTGCCATTCATGAAAGATCCAGCGTGTGTCTATAGTCATGTCGAAACCACAAAAGGGCGTGCCAAAACGGCGTGTGGAGCTGACTAGCCTACTTCCAGGTCCCTGGTGTCGCCGGCCGAGACTTCACTAGTAATCCACACGATAATCTGATACGCCAGCTTCCAGTGGTGGTAAAAAGGGCACTCAAAGTCTCATCTGTGGCATTCGGCTCCGGATAATCATTCGGGGTGACAACTCAGAACGGTCGCCATTTCCGAAAATGTAAAGCCAACCCACATCAAGTTAATACCCCACTATCTAAGGCATGGATTCAAAAATCGATCAACCAAAGATCTCCGCATCTCCTTTCGTGCACCTTAACCCCTCTCAGGTCTATGGGGGTCGCTGTTCCTTACGTTCCCTCGTGAACGTGGCGCAGCTGTACGGCCAGACGAGGTTCACCCTTAGCCTCGTTCCTTTTTTTCATCATGGCTTTTCAAACCCAGTACAAGATATTGGCACGATACTCAGTTGAACCACAATCCTCCAGGTTATTATGCCGACTAGAATGGGTTGAAATTTTTGTATTTCTTTCACTATGGAATTTACATTTGGAAGAATTCTAGTTATCCAGGGCATTCTTTGAGGGCAATGGTGCATTTAGGTATCTATGCAGCGATGCTGTGCTTGCTTACATGCAGATTGTCATACCTCTCTTTGTCCTTCGGAAGCATATAAAGGGGTTCATGGCGGTAGGTAGATTCATCATCTATGATCTATCTTGGATATTCTTCTTACTCTCTCTCTCTCTCTTTGTAACAATATAGCAGTATACGTCCACCAGAAACAACCCATAGAAAATGGAAAATATATTCATCGCGCAAGCTATAACAAAAAAAGGGTATTAAATTTACACAATGCGCCTGGGGCTTCGGAAGGATTCAATCCTTCAAAACGTGAGCAAACCACCAAACAGCCCATACCAATCACTGAATCCCACTACCACTCATGGTAGTAAAATATAGAAATGTAGAACATCGAACATAAACCATAAGCATAAACAAGAATGGTATACCACCCACAAAGCAGAAAGCCCACTACAGGGTAAGATTAACGCCGGCCTCCTTCAGCGCAGACAGAACATCCAACTTGATAGAAAGCTTGTTCGCGGCCAGCGCCTTGGAGAAGTATGGGAGGTTTTTGCCGTCGTATGTTGATGTCGCATTTCCGGTGATGTCGAAGGGAATGATGCCGTCTTTGTATGGGTTGGACTTTGATGTGAGCAGGGTGATGATGGCGGCTTGGTCGACCTTGCCGATCATTGGGACGGTGTTGTTGCCGGGCTTGAGGGTTAGGTTGTTCAGGTAGGTTGTTCCCACTGATGTGCCGTTTAGCTCGAGGTTCAGGGTTATGTTGCCCTATTTCTTCTTTTAGTGTCGTGGGAAATGAGGATGTGATATAGAGAAAGAGGATTAATTACCAGTGGAATGGTCAAGACTGAGGCATTGGGGATAATGACGGTGCCGTTCATCCCGTAGCCGTTCACTGGAGGGAACATGATGAAGAATTTGGCGACAGTGAAGCCATTGAGTTTGTTCAGGCCTGTTTCATCAGTTAGTACATCTTGCTCTTCTGATAGACTGGGTAGAGTCAAGAAACAAGAAAGAGGAACATACCCTTCATAACAACAGTCTTGTTGTAAGTAACCGTAGTCTTAGGCAAACCACCCTGCTTCAACCCAGGTCTTCCATATATATTCAATGAAACCTCCTCATTCAACATAACAGCAGTAGTATAATCCGCGAACGCTGTAGCATTCGTAAGAGCAACATTCTGCTCAAAGTGAATAACTGCCCCATCCTTCGACTTCACAGCCGGGACAGTAACATGCGCGAAAGGCGCCTCTCCAGCCAGCGAAACCTCAGAATCGAAAGCATAGATCTGGGGATGATAAGAGCTTTTCGAGCCGAGGACTTGTCTCTGCTCGAGATGGAAGGATTCGGGCGTTGGGTTGCTGAGAATCATCTCCGTGATGTCGAGGGTTGAGTCGTTGACGGCAGATTGTGCGATCTTAGGATATGCGACGTAGACACTAGATGATTCAGTACAGGATGAGTGGGATGTTCTTGTTTCTAGCAGTCTGGGCCGTTTACGACCGGAATGGGACGGACTTACACCGGTAGTAGGATGATTAGGAAACAGGCGATGAATATGATCAAGTGCACCCACCACCATTTTTTGAAATGGGCGGCGAGGCGTCCGCCGAAGCTTCTCTTGGTTGGTGCTGCGTTTATGTGGGATTCCTCCTCGACGAATGAGGGCTTTGCGGTCGACATCTTGATTCTGTGAATTGAATTAGGGATCGGAAGAGGGTTCTAGACAAGAAATGTACATACTTAAGTCACAAACACCTATAAAAAGAGAAGAGCTTCCAAGCTAGAAAGAAAATGAAAGAAAATAAAAGTGATACAATCCGCTCTAGAAGGGTGTGGGTAGTAGTCCGTACTTTATAATAAAAATCCACCTCGGGGAAAAATCTTTCGACTAAAATGGAAGAAACAAGGTATATTTCTAGCGTCACATGTTATGCAGAGAGGAAAAAGCCAAATATAATCCGAAAAAGAAAGGGGAAATATATTGGCCGTCAGATAGATCCTTTCTCTCATTTCCCTTGGAGCTATTTTGGTCATTTGACCAATTCGATCTGGAGAATACTAGTCCAGGTATCATTTTAGTGGGGAACTCCGGATTTCCGGGGATATACGATCTGTGTCTGGGGTTCTGTATATAATGTTTCAAGTTAAAAGTGTCTAATCATCACCATAACCATCATCACCACATGAAAAGAGAAGAGCCGAGGTGGACCAAAATACCAAGAATGACTGTTTTGATAAGCGGCATGCGTCGGGACGGGTGCATTTGTCCTACCAGGGCTTTGGCTAAATGCTGTACGAGGGAATTTGGGGGGAGGTTTAAGAGATACTCTATGGGGTACCGTTGCACTAGACTGTTAAATGAACAAGTTCTCATTGGTGGACGGTGGGGCTAGCAAGATAGCGTGCTGCCAAGGGGGGGGCGACCCTGGATGCAAGGAGCGTGTCCTGCGTATTCAGAGAGATTCTATACGCAAAAAGTCAGAAAGATCGAACTGCTCCAGGCAATCCCCGCTAATCCCCGCTAAACAGAACCAGCGTGTTTTGGGGGTTAAGGCCGGAGAAGTGGCCTATTTAGGCAATCTAGACACATTCGGGTCAAAGCTCCGAGACAAAAGCCGGGGAACAATGCGGGGGTCTAGAACTCAGGGTGTTCGGTATAGGAGAAAAACTGGTTAATATCAACTAGATGATGCTACGAGTCCAAAAAAAAAAAATTACAGATCAACGCTGTCTTGATTCTGTCATGAGTTCATGAGTCGCCACACTGAGGCATCAAGTAAAATAGGAGGCAAAATATGAACAAAATTGTTCAAGGGATCATACCCAAGAAATATGACCAAGAAAAGAAATCAAAGGAGGTGCCACGAAAATAACAAGAAAAAAATTGGCAAATGATGGGAAGAAATGAAAAAGGGTATACATGGAGAATTGAAGTATTAAACGAAACATGTGAACAGACGTCCATGCTCGACAACAGCTGCCCAGGCGGCTCAGAAAAGGATGAAGATGCAAATGAGAAAAAAAAGAAAAAGTTTAGACATGAGAAAGTGAAGGAATGTAAGTCGAAAAACCAAGTGAAAATCGAGTGAAAAATGCGAATAAATCAAAGATGAGCTGAGAACGGTCCAAGCATATTGCAAAATGCAAATGGATGGTTTCTTCCACAACTCCAAGGAAAGCGCTCGAGACAAAAGAGGAAAGTAAACAGAACAGGCAGGGAACGGTCTATGCCTCTGATACGTTGGACTTCTTACGTTGGAAGATACTGCGAGAGCGGGACTTGCTGCGCGGCTTCTTGTGCTTGTCCTTGTCCTTGTCCTTCTCTCCACTAGCATTTCGGCCACGGGAGCGTCCAGTGGACTCGGTCTCGTTGTATTTGTCCTTGTAGATCCTGCGTATGATTGTTAGTAAGGCCGATTGGAATATAACAATTTGGAAAAACGTACCAGCTGTTTCCAACCATGCTCATACCCTTAGCCTCAGCCATGCGATAGAAGCGGGCCGCCTTCTTCAGATCCTTTTTACAGCCAACACCCTGCGCGTAGCAGAATCCAGCTTCGGCCATGGCGTCAACGTCGCCCCATTGACCGGCGATCTCGAAGCAGCGCAGAGCAAGAGACTTGTCTTGCTCGATGCCCCAGCCATTCAAGTAGCTGACGCCGAGTTCATAAATGCTCAGAGCAAATTGAGCCCGGTATGCCTTTTGCAGTTCCTTTGCCTTCGACGCACCGGGAGCATCCGGATCAGCCAACATTTCCAATCCGACGGAATCCACAGCTTTGCGTAACCATCGTACGCCCTCCTTTTCATTGGATCGCATACCCCAACCGTGTCGACAGGCCAGCGCATAAAGCAGCATTCCCGTCGGGTGGTCCTGTTTCGCGGCAACCCGCAGATGATACGTCGATTCACTCAGGGATCCTCGCTCGTGGCATTCAATGCCCTTAGCGACGTGGTCGTCAGCCGTGAGGCCGGAAGCCGTCACCGGGGCGGTGGCGGTTTGGGGCCGCATGGTGCTGGCTGAATCCGCAGAAGAGACAGTTTCATCCTTATCGTTGGTTGCCTGTCGGGTGCTCTCAACAGAGGGCCGTAGTTCCGGTTCCACTGGCGAGTCCGGAATAGGCGGGGGTTGTGGGAATGGTTGAGACTTGGGGGTTTGAGGTTGAAGTTGAGGTTGGGATTGAGGTTGGGGTTGAGGCTGAGGTGGAGATTGTGGTGGAGATTGAGGTTGGAATTTCGGAGTAGGGATCGGGGTCGGGCTTTGAGGCTTGGGAGCGGGAACTTCGTGCATCGAGTGAGGCTTCGGTGAGTGCTCATATTGGCGGTGGGGCGTAGGAGATGGCGTCCGTGTCCTCCGCGGTGGCTCCTCTGAGTGCCGGGGAGGCGTTTTCTCAAACAAGGGCTCCTCCCACTCGAAATGGGGCGTTTGCAAACCTGCAAAGACCACGGAATCCCGTGAAAGGAAGCGTCCGCGCGGAAGTGCATACTTGGCGTACGTATAAGAGGATACGGCGGACGACGGCTCGCCATCGATGGCTGCCATCGCAGCAACATCTTCGGTGGAAATTTGTTGCAGGAGGAGCGGAGTCGGCTTGCTGCGACGGTACATTTGGTTTGATCCAGAGGCAAGGATCGGTTCTGTAGGCGTCGAAGCTCCAGGAGCAGACAAGGTCGTACTAGACCGACTTAGCGGTCGAGAGAAGTTGAAGGAAGGGCGGGGGAGGTAGTTCGTTCCCGTTCCTGACGTCTCCGAGCTCATGGATGGCGATCGAGGATGTGGTCGTGCAGGGAATGTGGACATGGGAGAATATGGCAATGACACAGCACTCCCAGTGGACAGCTTTCGAGGTTTGGAGAACGTCGACCCACCATTCGAGCTGCTGTAGTCATCATCAGAACTCTCAGGGTGTGTCGTCTTAGCACTGCTAGATGGGCGCGACCGAGGTGACACTGGTGGTGCCAAGGTGCGTGGGATGTCCAGTCGCGAGGCTGAATCGATCGATGAACCTTGCGGCTCAGCAACCGCCACACCAACAGGCTCATCGTCCACTTCATTTGCATGTAACGGGAACTCCTCTGGTGACTCGGCGCGCGTCATCCCATACTCCTCCAGACCAGTATTAAGCATCGTTGTCCGCGGTGTCGCCTCGTCATCATCATCGTCCTCCTCGTAATAGCTTGCCTCGGTACTAGCATGGGAAATCGAGCTCAACCGAGGGTGCTCAGAGATAGGGCGGTACTTGGGATCTTCAATCTCCGGGTGTCCCTTCTGCGTGGGTTGCCGGGTCAGTTCGGTGCGGGGTTCAGTCGACGATTTGGAACGGTAGAAGTTCGGGCGGCCTTGCGAAAGCGATCGAGCTACACTCGCCGGTGGCAGCCGGCTCATACGGCGGTCTCCTCGTCGAGACTCATCGAGTTGTCGGGCGAGATATCGGCTCTGAGCGGCGAATGCGTCGAGGGGGGAGAGTGCGGGAGGAACTTCGCCGTCGAAATGCGCTACCCGTGGCGAGCCACTCCGCAAGGTATCGTGGGATACGGAGCGACATTCGCTCAGTTTCCCTCGCATGTCCATGATGAAGATGTGGATATCAAGTGGTCGGCTATTGAATCATTTATCCCGAGTCGGTTGGATCTTTCGAGATTTGCGCAGGAAGCATCGGAGTAGTCTTTTGAAGTTGGTCCAAAACGAGGTCGGAGTTGCGGATTACACACCAAGGGAGGTTTCGGGCGGGGAGGCGAGAATATAGAGCCAAAGGAATGACAGCCCTATAGACAGAATTGAAGCAAGGAATATCGTGTAAGTTCAGGGCATTGGAGAGGGGGGAAAGTAGGAGAAAGGAGAAAGGAGAAAAACGGAGGGGACGATCACAATGCGAACCTTGGACGAGACTATGGCAAGTAGTAAATAGAAGCGTCCCGTGCACTAAAATAAAACAGTCGGGACTCCACCGGGTCTCGACGTTTGACAAGGGATCGTCTCAGGGGGAGGAGAACTGCTCAGGGGGCCGCCAAGAACATCAACTCCCATACTCCGTACTATGTATTGTTATTGGCTATAATTCTTTTGTTTGAATACATCTACCCTTGAAAGCCTATGTGTACTATTGATTTCACTATTTCATTTCGCAGAACTGAATGTTTTATTTGACCCGCTATCTTCTAGAATCTCTAGCCATTCCCCTGCCGTCTCTCCCCACAACGGGTGGTTTCATCATTATGCTGATCTGAAGAAGACACATGCATGAGCTATTGAGTTATCTTTAGAATTATGGCCAAAACAGCTGGTGCCTACGGAGTAGTCATGTACAAATAGTAGAACGGACGGGCTTTTCAGGTTCGCACCAATAGCCGAGAGAAGTGAGACCATCCCCTACTTATATTGCAAGCCACGAGAGCGGGTACCACTCCCAAAATGGTTGAAAATGGCTCGTAATGGAATAGGTCTATAACCAATGGAGTTTCTCCTCAGAACTATCCTAGGACGGTTTCTTTTCCATCTTGAAACAACGACTACGGAGAACATTGTTGGCCTCTGTGAGAAAGGATAAATATACATCCAAAACTTACGCGGCCTTTTGAGTCAAGTCAACCATGGTCTGTGGTTGCCACTATCCCTAGTTGGGTATAGTGGCATATGTTAGTCAGCATGTAATCCCCGGGTCCACGGATGGCTAAACCTCGGACAGACACTTCAACTATGCAAGAATATGATCATAGTACTCCGTATAGAAGTATAGATAAAAGAGAGCCAGCATCTCCCTATCTGCTTCTCTTTTTTTGGAATGCAAGTTCTTCAAAACATCTTCGCTCTGGATTCCACTCGGTTTGTTTTCCTAGTCCGTCTCCGAAACATTGAAGCGCACAGGTGATTTCGATTGGAATACTCCGTACTTTGGCTCATTAACCGCAAGTGTCAGGTAACAGAGCATTTACCGATATTGCGAAAGGCATCTAAATGATATGAGACCTCACTTTTAAAGGTGGTTGTTACCCAAAGGTTAGAAACAAAATAAGATCAGCTCTATAAGGACGCACGCACCTATTGACGCCCGTGATGATTGGGTAAACCCGTATGCGGTTCCCCGAGTCAAGAAGGAGAATACATTCGCTTAAAAATACTACATATCACCACCCATTGATACGGAGCTAGTAAGATATCGTGTTTTGATGCAATTTGAAACCGCATCTTGGCAACACTTGGCAACACTACCTAAGCAACACCTAGCCACCTGGGCACGCTTAGCAAACAAAGAAAGTACTCCGTACTTGTTTGAATCTTTTTCTCTTTGGATATTTGCAAGCTCTTATAGCCTTTCACAAATACATCATCTTAGACCGCAAGCCATAAACAGAATGAATCGTCTTCCACCGGAGCTCTTGCACCAAATATGCCTCAGTGTATGTCACCTCACGTTCTGGACTTTTTGTGTGAGACACTAAAATCGTTAGCTTCATGCCGATGGGTTGGATTCACGCACAACCCTTTCTATTTTCAGCCGGCTCAATCACACTTGTTATGGAATAGCGGCCCCTCTTGTTTATCAACACCTTTCTGTCATCTTCTGGGATCGCCAGACCCTCCGAGAGACCGTCTCGGAGCTAACAGAGGAGGGCCTGGGGCGTCAGTTTGTGAAATACGCTAGGAAATTATCTATTATATGTCTGGATCCATATACCGGCAATTCACCACGAGCCCGTTCTGGGCAATTGGAAGGCTACAAGCTGGGATTATCTCGTGATGTCGAAGGCGACCTAGCTGCGAAAAACACTTTTCTGGAGTCTCATTTGACAGATCCCAGTTTATGCCGTGCCGCAGCATTTGATCTTCTCACATCTTGGTCGAGTTATAGGAAATCGCAAAGAGACTGGGACCCACTTGCTACCCTCATCGCCCGCCTATACCATCTAGGACAAATCGACTTTCTCGTTCAGGACAATTTCCCAATTTCATTGCAGGAAGCTATATCACAACATCATCCAAACTGTCTGCTGAATCTGTGGTCATCGCAGAACGTGAGTACTAGTGTCCCAGGTTTAAAAAAGCTGGCAAACCCTCAATTATGGGAACAAATAGCCGATGACAACCCGGTCATTGATGTCAATCTTCTACGTCTCCAGGGACTGCATACATTTGCAGTCCAAATCCCCGGCAAATCCGATGGTAACTCCGGTCGTATAGAGCTAGACGAGATGCTGCCTTTCCTTTTTTTGGCTCCCAATTTGAAACACCTTCTCTTGGAAGATCCCACACGCCATCGACTCCCAATGGATATGCTGAAGGAAGAATGGCACAAATTTGCTGTTACCATGCAGCCCGTGCCGATATCTTCCTTGCAATCTATTTCAATTGGTCGACCGGGGCCATATGAAGATATCCTGCTAAAACTAGCGAATATCGTGGATCTTTCCCAACTTCGGTCCCTTCAAATCAATGCGACACACGACACAGCCGTACTCACACGGGTGCCTGCGCTTTTCCCCAACCTCGAGCGACTTTTTATCTCGACAAATGGATACGGTTGGGGGCGTCCAAGTCTCAGTACTGACGATGATATTGGAATTGCCGCAATAAGGGCTTTCAATCCCCTGAAATACCTGTATCTTGACGGATTTCGCAGCGTCTCATCTTTGAATCAAATTCTACAGCGCCATGGCCTTTCTCTAAAGGGTCTTATCGTTATACCGTGCATCCAGCCTATGAATAGGCCGGACGAAGCCCATTTTAGATATAATTATCCAGAACTTGATGCCTTTGACATAAGCCAGCTAGCCAAGTCCTGTCCCCAGCTGGAAGAACTCCGTATTCCGATCAAACGATCCATGGGCAGTCAAGAAGAGTGCGAAATGTACAAGGCCCTGGGTAACTTTTCAAGCCTGCGTAGCCTTGTACTAGATCTTCATTTCGACCCCAGATCACGGCCAGTGTACCGAATTGAACAAGTCGAGGCATCTGTTCTTCAAGAGATATTCGTGAATGCGACAATGGATGAGAAACTTGCTCTTCAGATCTGGCACTTGATCTCGTCCAACCAAGCTTCCCGTCGCCTACAGCACCTGCGTGTCGCGCCTTTTGGTCACGAGTCCCTCCCGAGAGACGAAATACGGCTCCTTGATTGGTGCTCTCGTACGTTTTTGATCACACAATTTAATTTTCAAAACGTTGGGGTGCCGACTGTTAGGGAAATCGGAAAGAGGGAAAGAGAGATACGGCATCAGTGGCTCTATAGCGGCCCATTTGAACGATTTATCCCAGAGAGACTAGCACAGGTTCTTTCTGATGTCTGGCCATCCGAGCCTGGAGGTAATAACTGGGAGTCAGTACGCAGCAGCTTCCCATTGCAGTCAAACTATACTTAAGCTTTCTGATGGTACTAGCTACTAAGGAAGTGAAAGGTGAGATTGAGTATGTAGCCGAGTGGGCCACTTGGTATAACTTGTTCAATTTAAATGCATATATCTTAACCAAAACTCCAGTAAAGTCATCATCTATCTAGGCATCTAATAATTCTATCCCCCAGTTTTTAAACCGACCCATACCGTTGTAGGGCCTATATAGATAGTTGTAAAACCGATGAAGCGCTATTTCGCCGGTGGGGGCCCTTCCGCTTCCGCCGGCTTAGTAATCCATTAAGAAGCTTTTTTAAGCCTACGGAGTACTTTAGGTATAAATGCGGGATATCAAATATACCCCGCCACTGCACAAATTCAATAGATTTCTTACTTCTTAAAAGCCTAGATAACTATCCACATCTTACTTTCTTAATCCGTTACATGTTGAGAGAATTTACAGCCTATTAGTGGCATGAAGGGTGGTGGAATTGACTAAGTGGTAATTTCTCCGGAGTAGACGCGGTTTGGATAGGTCCACGGGCCCACTCACTTCTGGCCCACTCGCTTGTGGAAGACGTTATCTCGAATATTGTTATTCGGCCAGGATGCAATGTCTCGAATGCCTCGGTCTAAAAGCTGACCATCGAGACAATTCTAGGTCCCGGCTTGCTCTATATTAGTCCTTTGAATCGATGCTAAGACTCACCCCCGATTCTGATTCGACATCAGATTCAGTCACGAGCCTTCAAGCTCTTTCCGGTGTGTAGGGCGGTTGCTTGTGGGGACAAAATGGGCCTAAAGTGAGACTAAAAGCAAAATCCCTTCACGACTGGCTCTGGTCATCATAACTGACCCATAATGGCGCAAAATGTCTTGCGAGGCCAATCTATACCGCAGAAAAAATCCGGCACTAAGTGCGCCAGCTCCAATTTCAGCATTTAGCTGTCGGTCTACTGCCAGCCTGGGCTAGTACATTTACAGCTGGTCTTCTTTTTCTTTCTTGTTTGCTTCTTTGGCTTCAATTCCCTCGAAGTACAAGGCACACAACAACATGCCTCGACTATCACTAACGAGTCTCTTCGGAGCTGATCCGTCTACCGATGACAAGCACCACTTCGAGACATCTTGGATCCTGCCCCCGGCCATCCTCGCCGGTCTTCGTGGTCTGATCTCATTGTACATTTTCACCACCATCTTCGTCTTCTGGGGCTGGTTTGGCACCCACGATGAGCGCGCTTTGATCGGACAGTCCTTCAGCTACTTCACCTGGCTGACGTACTGGGGTATCGGCTTCTACATGCTATTCGCTGCGATCCATACAGCCTGCTATGCACGAACAGGCCATTCGGTTCTTTTCGACCGCTTGCCGCGCGCCTTTCGCGTACTACACAGCCTGTTGTATGTGACAATCACGACGTATCCGTTGATCGTTACGGTTATCTTCTGGGCTCTCATCTTCACTCCGCCCTGGTTTACGGAGACATTTTCCGCCTGGCAAAATGTATGTATCATTTTGATATATCCCCTCCAACAATCTCCTATCCCGCAAACGTAGAGCGAAATTTTCAAAAGACAATTGATATAAGCCACAATTTAAGCTAACCCAATTCCCCAGATCTCTCAGCATGGCCTTAACTCTGCCTACGCCCTACTGGAAATCCTCCTCACAACCACGGCGCCGCACCCATTCATTGCACTCCCATTCCTAATCCTCATGCTCCTATTCTACCTCTGCGTCGCATACATCACCCACGCAGCACAGGGCTGGTATCCGTACACCTTCCTCGACGTCGGCGACCATGGACAGAAGAGCGGTCGTGTGACGGGATACTGTTTTGCCGTCTTGGCTGCGGCTCTGGTTTTCTTCTTCGTTTCCTGGGCGCTAATTCATTTGCGTCGCCGGCTGACGCATGGTAAGATTAAGCGGGCGAGACGTGATCCGCTGTGCGCACAGGATGCTTTTGTCGGGGCGTGTGTTGATGAGCAATCGGATGAGGTGAAGGATGTGCCGGTTTGAGGGGACGTCATGGGTCGGTTTTCTTCTTCTGGGAGGAATCACCTAGGTGGATAAGGATGGGGTGGCGCTCATGATATCCTACTTGGTAATGCTAATGCTAATCTAATAATTGTGTCCATAAGGTGTGAAATTATATGTCGATGTGTGATGATGTAAATAATAAGATCAAATGGAACAGTGCCATTGAGAGCGAAGAGTATTTCCAATGATATTATGTACAGAAAAGTGTTTTCCAAGCGAGTGCTTTTAATATATTAAAATGGGAGTGCAAAGAAGGGAGATGTGTCAGAAAATAGTGCATGAAGTTAAACTCTTTCCCAGCTGGTTTCACTGCTGCTGCCACTTGGGGTCTCAGAGTTCATTCCATTCCCCCTGCGGTACCCCATCATCAGCGCCACGAGTCCACTGGGAACCCAGGCCCCGATCAGGCTGTACGAACGAGCTCCCCGGCCCACATACATGACAGGTTTTTTAGACACTTTTCGGCCGAAGATATCTCTCGAAGTGGGTTCCAAAGCATCCAAAATAGCGTAATGGAGGTTCCGCGCCGGAGATCCGCGTACTATGCTGGGACCAACAGAGGCAACTGGACGCTGCTCAACGCTGGAAAGATACTGTGAGGCATAAAGAGCACGCTGCTGGGTACTCCACGCAAGGACTTCTGTGCCTGCGATCTGACTCTGGGCACTTCGGTATGTAGGCCCTAGGTCAATGTTGCCCAGCTGCAGCTCGACGACGTCGACATTGCTTTGTTCGAGGAGACGAAGTTCTTGGCGAAGCGAGGCTGCGAAGCCTGAGATCGCCCGGGTTGTGGCAACCTCGGGTCCGGCAAATGGCGCGGAAAGGGAGGATGATATGGAGGGATTGGCAAAGACAATAGTGCTAGTATTGCTGCGGAGGGTCAACAGAGGGAGGAATGCCTGCACTGTGAGGATAGGTGAGAGGATACGAGTGTTGACCATATCAGCCCACGATGACGGTGGGATGGTTGCAACAGGGCCGGCGATATAGTTGGGCGATGGGACCACGATAAGGCCGCTCAGTTGGCAGGTGTGCGGAGGCACTCCAGCGACAGGTGACTGTGGCTGAGTGATCAAGGAGCGAAGCTCTTGCAATGAAGGGTGGATTTCGGACGGCGAGGAGGATGTCTAGTTTGCAATATTAGTCGGGTTCTCCCATATAAGAGATACACGAACAGCACTTACTGTTGTAAGATCCAACCAGAGAGCCTTGATGTCAACACGGTTCTCGGACTTGACGATCTGCTCTTCATCGGCGGAAGAAACAGTCACATATACGATATATCCCCGACGTTCCAAATCCATAGCAATAGCCCTTGTCATCGGCTCATGTGGCGATCCGGCAACAACTATAATCGCAGAATTAGCATTCAGATCCTAGCAGATCAAATGCAGGATCATGACACATACCGACAATCTCTTTTCTTGCGCCGTTGCTCGCCCTTCTGGCCTTTCTCCGTTTTCCGTGTAATTTCTTGTTTCCATAGTATAAGACAACGCCGGTTCCGATAAAGGCGAGCATGGCCGCCGTCCATGCGCGATTCCGAGTCATCCAACTTTGGATCCGGTCCGTCAGGCCTTGCGATGACCGCATTCTCGGGGTAGCACGAGCCGGACGAACGGTGGGCGGTAGCCATGACTGTTGGGCTAGTGTATCCTTGATCGCGTGCGCGGCATAGTCGACTGATCGATCGATCGAGTCTGCGACTTCGAGGGAATACCGCCTTACGTCATGTGGGATAGACGCGAGCTAGATGAAGAAGTATCAGCGCTGAAGGCATTCTTTGTCTCCTTCCATGATACTCACGTAGTCAAAAAAGAACTGGTCGTCGCTCGTCATCTTGTATATTTGAGAAGAAGCTGGAAAGAAAAAGAAGAGCGAAAGTTCGATAAGATGGATGCTGATAACACTGGCGATGTTATCGGAAAGGTCACATGAGCAGTGCTTTGTATTAAACAGTCGAGGGCGGGGAGTATACAGAACTAGTAATGCTCTTTAGGCATTTTCTTTTTATTCTTTCGAAGTGCATATCCCTTTCCTGGTCAGAATCAGTAGGAAATTATGAAATTAGTAAAATATCGTTTCTTAACAACTTGATCAATGTGTTAATCTACTATACTATGGATATATATCTGGGCCAAAGACAACTGAACTGCAAACACGAAATTAAGTAAAATCCACCACTTTAGCAGTTCTTAGTATTACTTAGGATAGAAAACCCCCACTTGTGTTTAGAATTATATATACTACGATCGTACACTAATGAAAAGGTGTTATTTCATTGCAACTATGTAGATTCAAGACACGTGACTGGCGTTGTAGCCTGAAGTATCTGGCGTAAATTTGTGCCTTGCTTGATTATCAATGCTAAAAGGCCATCCATGGATGCCCCGAACTTGGAATCATTCTGGAATTTCCATCACCGGCTATGTTCATTTGACTGTCCCTGGCTACCTGCACTGCCGTATGTGTAATGCCATAATTTGGTCATGATCTGATGTGAAATCTTCTTGTTCAGACCCTGGCCTCGGAGGAGGCCATCCTAACGAAGGCAGCAACATCTCACATATTCACGGCGTCCTGCTCTATCGTATCATCCAAGTTCTCGATCAGAAATCTCGAAAATGCGGGAGCTAGATCCTCTAATCTCAGAATACCGCCATGAAAAGAAGCGCCCCCGAGAAGCAGAGGCCCTCTTGATCCTGCGCAAAGTCGCATCGTTGGTCAAACCGATCATGCGACAGCGCGCCTGGAGAGTGGGCGCGTTATGCGAGTTCTATCCGCAGCAGCGAAACCTGCTGGGGTTGAATGTCAATTCAGGCCAAAAGATTTGTCTAAGATTACGGTATCCCTCCGACCAACGGCAATTTCTCCCCATCGAGGAGGTTTTGGATACTATGCTCCATGAGTAAGTGACTTGACATCTTAACTACACCAAAATACAAATTCTGATTAAATTTAGACTCGCCCATAACGTGATTGGTCCACACAACCAGCAATTTCATGCGCTGTGGAATCAACTTCGTGATGAGCATGAGGAACTAGCCCGAAAAGGCTATACCGGAGAGGGCTTTTTATCTCAAGGAAAGCGTCTGGGTGGCCAAAGAATTCCGCTGGATGAAGCTCGACGTCAGGCTCGTGCTGCTGCTGAACAGCGAAGGGTTCTTGCCAAAAATTCGGGCAAAAAGCTTGGCGGCACCCGTGTGCTCCGAGGAACAGATATACGGAAGCTCCGGGCTGACGCTGCCCAGCGTCGTATTGAAGTAACCCAGGGTTGTGCTTCTGGTACAGACCGAAGCACTGAACTTGCGGAAGAGGCCTCTCATGGGTTCAGAACACAGGCCGAGGAAGACGACGCAAACGAGCGGGCTATTATGGAGGCCTTTATAGAACTCATACAGGAAGAAGAAAGGGAAAAATATGAGTCTTCGTATGTCCCGCCAAGTCAAGAAAACCCGGCAGGACCTCGGACAAAGTCATCGCCGCCTCCTACTGCTTCCAAAATCCCGCCTGCTATCCCTGAAACTCTGCCTGCGCTTCCAAAAGCAGCCCCGCAATCGAATCGCAATGAAACTGTTGATCTTACAGCGGATAATAGCTCATACGATACACCCTGGATCTGCCCAATGTGCACGCTCGAGAACCCGTCTACCTTCCTGTGTTGTGATGTTTGTGCGGCGGAACGACCGCCTCCGAGCAATACGCTATCCACATCAACCTCTAGCCGAAATCCCACCCAACCACTACGTTCGGAGTCACGAAACTCGAAGAAAAGGCCTTTAACTCTTGACCAAAAGGAAGAGAAGAAAGCGAATCCTGGGGATGCATTTCTTTTCAAGAACCGAACCCGTGCACTAGATACCATCAAATCCCTGGACAGAGGTGCAGATAAGAAACCTCTTGGATGGGTTTGCATCTCGTGCAGCAGCTTTATGGAAACCCAGTGGTGGACATGTTCTTGCTGTGGGACCATGAAGCCGTCCTCTTGATCGGATCTCGAGAGGTTTCACCACCATATGCCTCCAAAAAAGCACCGACCTAATTATGACCGTTATGAAATAGATACCAGTATGACAATATACCTCGATTGAATATTAAATATTAAGCAAATTACACAAATTCCGTATCCATTACCAAGGGGTATGGTAGTGCCCCATATAAAAGCAGCACGTGACCGGTATGACTAAGATAGCTCCACCGGGCCAAATTTTCTCACAAAACTCCAAACCCAACTTTCCTCTTCTCCAGCTCCAACCAACACCAAAGTCCAGCGTGGACCAAGACCAATAAATGTGATTGATCTTCGGTCTATGCTGGACTAATACACTAATAGGTATGTGGTACTAAACTTCCCTGACAGAACTACAATTGAAGCAAAGAAACAACGAACATCGCACCAAACAGACTCTATTATGATGAGATTCGCATTAGAACCGGAATTTTAATAGGAAGAGCCGGAAGAGGTATGACAGGGGCTGAAATCCCTGTCGTCGATGCTTACATTGGTTCTCCTGAGTAGAGTCTTTGGATGCTTGTTGTTTCTTTTCTTGGTTGTGGTCTTGAAAGATCAACGTGTCGTTGCTTGGAGTAATTCGCTAATGATGTCTCTTGCAATGCAGATTTCAGATTCTTTTTCGGTATCGTCGATTGCTTGGATTGTTGGAAAAGGGAGAAATAATAGCTAGACCAATTGAATAAATTATTCTATTCCATTACTTTGATACACCTCGCTTTATGAACCTTCAGTAGACAATTATCAACTATCCCAGGGAAAAGATTATATTTTACTTCGAAATTGAACTATCATACATCCCTTATATTCTCTTCAACTCCCAAGGATATAAAACTTTTATATGGAAAACAAGATAGAGAAGACCTCCAAGGTAACAAGGTCGAAAATGATCATAACGCCAATAGACATGCTTGTACACAAACCTAATCCTAAACTCAGGCAACGCTGACAAACTGGCGCTTCTTGC